CTTTATACTACGTTACACCATGTATTTGATCACTGTCTCAGTGTTACTATCTCCATTCGGATTTCAAGGCCGTTGTATTTTGGAACTGCATCCTGACGTTTCGCCCGACGAGAGGCTGGTTTCTTCAGAGGTTGATTCATCTTGATGATTTGCCGATAACTGGTGTTTTCTAGTTCGTAGGTTGTATTTATGTTGACTCAGGTAGTCCGACTCTCTTGTTGATGCGGTGCTATTGGCCGAAGTGTTATTACCCGTTAATGACCTAACATTGCATTGCGCTGTTGTCACTTTAGCATCTTTTTATGGAATTCCAAATCCGGTTAAGCGTTACCGCCTATTCTTTTCTGTTGTAGTTTTCCGTATGTTTATGGATTTCTGTGGCTTCCCATACAAGCCGACTGTGGTATGCATGATCGGGGGCAAGTAGTTTCACATCTTCAAACTAAGTGCGTGTTCCGCTTCTGCCAATTTGCCTATTTGACCTAATCTACAGTTTCTCCGATGTTCATTCAACCTTGTACCCATGGATCTTTTAGTGGTACCGATATAAACTTGTCCACAGGTGCATGGTATACGATATACCCCCGCAGCTGATAGTGGATCTCTTTTATCGTTCACAGATCTCAGGCTTGGCTGTATTTGCCTGGTGGGCTTGAACACTGTTTTTATGTTATGCTTCCTTTCCGATTCTATCTGTAACCCTAGGGATGTACGGTAGAAAAGCACGTGCAACCGTTTTGACCCTATTTTGACTTATGGAAGTCTTTAGTTTCATGGCCTTGTTGATTTCGGTTACACTGTATCCATTCGATCTTAAAGTCACTCGAAAATCTTTCAATTCTTCTTGTAGGTGTTCAGGTTCACATATTCTACGGGCACGTTCCGTCAGGGTGTTGATGATTCCCCGCTTTTGACTTGGATGGTAGTTCGAAAGTGCATGCAGATATCTGTCCGTATGTATCGGTTTTCGGTACACTTTATGTGTTAGTCAGGTGTCACGCCTTTAGATAAGTACATCTAGAACGGATAGCTTTTCTAGATGCACCACAGTCATCGGTGAATCATCAAGATGAATAAACCTCTGAAGAAGCCAGCCACCCGTGCTGGCGAAACGTTGAGATGGAGTTCCAAACTACGACGGCCTTCAAATTTGAATGAAAATAGTAATACTGAAAATCTCGGCCGCGAAAGCCTTAACCAATTGATCACTGTCTGTTTATCTGTTTGTCTAGTAAATGAACTGGGTAGAGTAACAATTTCTGATTTTCTAAATAATTCTCTGCATAATATTCTTAGTGCAACATTATATATTACTTTGATCACTTTTCTCTAGGCACTTCTTGCCCATAGGCATGAGGAAGGTATGGGGTAGCCCCGCAGACATTAAATCATAGTACTTATAATGTCGATTGAGCCAGTCCATAGTACAAAAACCTGAGTACTTTCCAAGATACTACTTCCCTAATATAAAACAATTTGAACTTATTTTTAAAAATGCCTGGGTAATATGAGATTCCCAGCTAAATGTATGGTCTAAACTTATCACTAAAAAAGTTATTGTTGCTACACTTTTGGTAGATTTCCCATCAATATGTAAATATGGATTAAGTTTTCAAATTTTTTTGAAGGAAACGCATCTGATATAATATTAATATCATCAGCGTACTGTATAATTCGATGTGGAAATTTACAAATTTGATTAATAGCACTGACAAAAATGGTGAATACTAGAAGTCCCAGTATCGATTCCTGCGGTACTCCAATTTTTGTTTGCAGGGGATCAGATTATTATTACTTGTGTAACACTCACAAATTCAAATAATTCGAAATATTCACATTTGAGTAAAATTGAGAGGAAATGAAATTGTATGGGAAAAATATCTTTAGTTTTTCCCAGCTACTCTTTTGTAAAAGGAAAACAGAGGTTTAGACGTAAATATTCAAATACGTTGTTGGAATTGTCAAAATTGAATTTCCTTCAATTTGCATATTTCATCTCTAAACGTGTGAACATTGTACGATATTGTAGCTTTTCGTGAGGCATATTATGTGTTTTATTCATAAACCGTCGAATATAGTTCAAATAGACATTCAAAATATTGAAAGATTTGCAATAAGAATAAATTTCTCTAGTTCATTTCAGGATGACAACAGAAACAAACATGACAGTTCATTTGAGCTTGTGATTCCCTGTTTTGTTGCAGACGAACATTCTCATTTCACGAGCATCATAGAAAGTGCCATAGGTGGAAGTGCCCTACTAAGCGTCATTTATGTATCGACATGTTTTATTTTGAAAAAGAAAGAAATCAAACGTCTCATCGATAGTTTGAAGATTTTTGAAGATTATCTTCCTGAAGATGAGATAGACAAAGCAGAAAAATCCGCTAAATTCTATACCAAAACATTCCTATTTTATGGAATCATCGGAAATGGTCTATATGAATCTTCTCCATTCATGTCCTTTAAAGAATGCAGAGGAGAGAGAACCCAACAAATGATTAAATTGGGAATACCCTGTAAAGTAATTGTGAGGTATGTGCTTCCATTCAAATACGACACAACGCCTTTTTACGAGCTGGTTATTCTAGAACAAGTTGCAGTAGCTATTTTAGGTAAGTTTTCTGTCAATTAATGTGAGGTGATTTAAGAAATCGAATAGTATCATTTTCGAATATTACTGGAGTTTTATCCCAATACCAAACCGTTATTTCAACACCTCGACACGTGTTTCAAACACCAAGTGATCATCTTCAGTTTAACCTTCCTCTTGAAGATGTTCACTTGGTGATCGAAACACCTATTGAGGTGTTAAAATAACGGTTTGGGATAAAACTCCAGTAATATTCATTACTACACCAAAGGTTCCAAACAGTGCATCAAAAGTATTATTTTTGTCCAAATAGATTAAGTTACTTCTATAATCTAGAGCAGGCCATTAAAAATAAACCTAGAAAAAGTATCACTGAAGAAGACGTCACAAATAAGACTGACATTAAAAAGAATACAAGATACCTCGAAAATCAAAAATTACAGTAAGAAGTCCACAATATACTAGTAAAATGGAAAGTTTTCAAAAACTGACAAAAAATAAATTGACACCTAAGAAAAGTTACACAGAAGATTGTTACGTTTTCCTGGTGGATTTGACAGTAATTGTCTTCACTATGCAATTGAACTTCATTACACTGCTACACTGACAATACAACACAAAACTTCTACTGATCTGCAGTCTAATACTTAAATGTATATCGCCTCATTAGATCACTTCGTACCGCACTTTCAACTAAACTTCTACGTTTTGATAGTGTTTATATATGGTAATGGAAGTCTCTCGAAGCCGATAGGAAAGTCGCTAGAAGTTTTTCGAAGCGACGCGACATCTAGAACAATCGCGAAGCGCAAGTTGAGTTGAGATCCATTTTGGCCGAGTCATAATCGATTTACGATGACCAGCAGCGGCCAGCGTTAGTTTTTTCAGGGGATGATTTACAACAGTAGGTATTACACACGTCGATTTTTTCAGTAAAAATCTCACAATAGATATTTCGACTCTAGCCTTCTCTCTCTAGCTTCTCTCTAGCCTCCCACTAGCCTTCTTCGTGGTCCTCCCGAATCACACTCTCTATCGGTGTACCCTAAATCCAAAACCACAAATATTATGTGGGAAAACAGACAGCAATGTGTAAAGTGTTTGTGATGCTGAGTGCAGTTGGTGTCTTATGATAACTAATAAAATGAACATTCTGTAAAACATCTCCAATTGATCCCTCCCAATATAGAAGGCCCCGAAACTCTGTCGAATGAGGCCCCTATGTCCTTAGTTTTTCACTTGACATGTATTGTTTGAAGATATTTCATGTGATATCAAAAACTATCGAGAAGATAAAAGTTGAATTCTGTAATGTTGAAGTTTCAACATATGTACATGTTTATGAAGCATTCCAAACTGTTTTTAAAATGTCGGTCAATAAGTGAAAACAGTTGTCTAATTTTTGGTAAATTGTTCTCAAGTATTTATTGTATCCAAAAAGTTGGCACATCATTGGAATAATTAGATTTTGGTTATTTATGACTACCTTTCAAAAATGAACCCCCTATACCAATCGATCATATGTCTAATGGCAAGTACAGGGAGAAGATAAATAAAAGGGAGGATTAGTTTATATAAATTCAAGGGATACTTCATTTCGATTCTTTATATTTTTCATAGACATATTCAATGTGTAATTCTGTAGAGATATTATATCAACAGAGTGTAATAACTGCCATTGCGATAGTTAACGAAAAATATAATTTTATTCATCGGGGTGGGTAACTCGGTTTTTCGATATCGATATTTGTCCAACAGAGTAAGCGTTGAATTTAATTTATGGTTGGTGATCTTTGACGGCATCACGAGGATTATCTTTCCTTCGAAGTAGACATAACAAACGTATCCTGATGATAAGTAATAACACTGGGAACGCGAAAAATGCAAGCTAAGAGTTTGCATTTAGGCTCCGTGGACAGAAAGTTCGGCCATATCTGAATAGGTGGGTCCGAAAATTGATTTAAAATAAAAACTGAACAATGACTTCAATTTAAGAAGATTTAATGAAGATTTAAGTCTTGAGTAGGAAGGGTTGTAGAAAAATTTGGGAATATTAAACAAAGATCAGACCAATCAGGGGACGGTACAAGGGAGGAGTATTAGGAACAATTTTTCGGACTTGAGGATACTAGAGAGTCGGTTAATGGGCACGGTGGCGATCGGTCAGTTGGGAGAGTTGCGGAAGAGAGTTGCGTGAAGTAGGTCGCGAAAGTGAATTTCTATAGAGAAGTTAAAATTTGATGCGGAGAAATCTGCATCTGGTGACAGCCGCTGCTAAATTAATAATAATAATAATAATAGATAAAACCATATATGAATAGAATACACATATATGGTCAGGTATTACAAGATCCTTTTTTCAGGAACTATTCTTGTGATGACTATCTCGATGTTAGTTTGTGGAATATTGACTCATATTGCTTCAAATCTTAGTTATCTTAAAAAGATAATTGAAGACATATCCAGAGTTGAAGAGCCTCAGCTGAAAGATCACGTCAACTTATGTATCAAATATCACACTATTATTTTGGAGTAAGTTGTAATTCTTCAGATCGCTTCAATAATTTAAGAAAACAGAATTCGACTCGAGAGAATTATAACTTATTGAACATTTATTCAAGGATTTCAGATAAGACCAATAACGCATTCGAGGGTATGATGCTGATTCACATAACTTGGACTAGTTTCATAATAAGTGTATTAGGATTTGGAATAATCATGGAATCGAATTTTTGGAATAACCTGAGGTTTGTCATGCATTTAGGAGGTTGGCTGATGATGCTATTTTTAGTGTGCTTCTACGGGCAGATTTTGATGGATAAAGTAAGTGCAAGCAGTCCAAAGGGGGTACAAAAAATGAAAATGTATATTCTTTAAAAAGATAAATTTAAAACTTTCATGATGAAGTACCTCAACAAATTCCATAAAAATAAAATCATAAGGAATGTTAATCATTAGTGAATGAAGTTTGATGTACTTAGTAAATTAGTAATCCTGATAACCGCCATATTGTGTATATCGCACACAAATACATACGCAAACACGCGCGCGCGCGGAATCATATACACTCAAAAACACGTACACGCAAATAAACACGCAGATACAAATACAGAAACACACACACGCAAACACATATTAATTCGCACAAGCGCGCTTGCATACTCACACACACACACGCACACACTTAATACACACACCTTCACTCTCTCTCGCGCAATCACATGCATGCAACTCCCACGCACACTCACATACGCGCACTCTTGTAACATGCGCGCGCGCGCACACACATTGCATGTTAAATATAATCTTGTAATAAGTAAACAATTTATATTTTGTTGAGCAGAGAGGGAAATGGGACTAAAACAACCACACTTGTTTGCTGTTCGATGTCGACTACACTTTATGTTTTAAAAAAAACAGGATGCGTACATTGTTGCCAATATAACAATGTTGCCAACGACATAAATTATTACAGTTTGATGTCAGAAACCAACATATTTGCTACAGAATCGTTGTTTGTGCTCATAATAGTTCACATTCCACATTTTACTATTTCCACTTTACTTATTCACATACTTATTTTACTTACTTTTCATTTTTTATAAACTTTTCTGGTCTTCAGAAACGAAGCGTTCTAACTTAACAGTTTTCGTTGTAATTTTTGAGCTCACCTAATTCTTGTGGACAACAAAAAGTTTCAACATATATTTTTATGATGAGATTTTCAAAAGGCCGCTTTCAAATGGTGTGGGGTAGACCCGCTTATGCAAATATTAAAATATTAGCATGTAAATATTTATTTATTCAATTATTTATTCATTCATTTATTTCATACACTATTCTACAGGATGAACCCAACAACAGAATAGGGAAAAACAGTGGCATTTACAAGTATGTATTTACATAATATGATTTGTGAATCTATATAAAAAAAATTAAAAACAGAAATGTCAGCTAAGAAATGTCTTTTCATTTATTTAATCTGGCAGTTGAATATATCTAGGACACGACTAATAGAATTGAAGGTATTACACATTGTATAAATTGGGGATTTTTTCATTATATTTGTTTTGGGACCCAGTCGTCTCACTTGCACTGTCTGGGCAACCCCGCAGGCCAACTCCGTCTGAAAGAGGATACTCATGTGGACTGTTTTCAAAGAAACCTGGGCAAGAAACTTTATTTTTATTATTGGCATCCACTAGGTACTTGGTTATTAGCGATTTGAGTATTTGAGAAATTTAATAGTTCACAATTTTGTTGTTAGTTCTGCCAAAATAAGTTTTTTTACAGTTCTCATGAATGTTACAAACGATAATATTTCTCACAATTCACTAGGTACACACCTCTTCATAGTGTTTTCTTCAAATTGTTCTTGTATATGATGAGTTCCTTAATTTTAGAGTACCGACATTTCTGAAGCGATATACGGAACAAAGTGGTATGAAAAAAATCCAAATATACGAAGAGCGCTCACATTACTTTTATTACGTTCACAAAGACCTCTAGTATTGAAAGCGGCAGGATTAAGAATAATGTCTTTGTCTACTTTCTTAGGTGTAAGTATACCACGTAATTTTTTTTGATCATCATTTTCGAAATCATAATATGTAATGACTATATGACAACGTATGGAAACATGCAAACAAAAGTTAGAGCGAGCCTAGATTAAACTGAAACAATGTCAACACCGTTCAGTGTCAACGGCATCATCCACTTTGGTCATTTCCATCATGTTCTCGGTAGGCTATGTTAATAATTCCTGAGCCACCGAGCCACCTAGGATGCATCATGGCAATTTCCAGTCTCGTCAGATATGTGTCATAGCAGAACCAACCAAACTCCACTTTTATTTTTTCAAGTGGTGTACTCATAAAAGCTCATTAGTACTGTTGTAGTTTGATTAATTTTGTCCTCAGTTATTACATAAATTCATATTTTCAATAATCGAATAGTTTATACTGATTCCATATTTGGTTTTGTGTAATATTGAAACCCTTTGGCCTATGGCACAAACCAAGTCTATGGAGAGGTTTTGTTTTTTTCCAACAAAGTATCTTTTATGAAGTATTGTGAAGTTTGAAATATTTTGAGAGAGATTCTCGGAAGCCACAACTGCGAAAGCTGGATTGATATAAGGCAAACAGATATCATCTTCATCCATTTTTCTGAGATCTTCATCTGTTTTTAGTTGAAAACACCCTCGATTCCTGAGCGGTTATTAGAACTAAGGTATGGAACTTGTAATAAACTCAATCTGTATATTCCTTACAAAGTGTTTATGAAAATACATCAAGCTTGAAATTGAGAACTTGGAAACGATTGCTAGTTCACTCTCTCGATAACTATTTCTGTACTTACCTCAAAAATCAACAGTTGCTTGAGAACATTATCGGATTTCCGTTACATCAGCATCTCCAGAAGTCTGTATCCCCTTGCAAGTTCACGAGAAGCTCCCCAAAAACCAACTAAGTTTAGAATGGGTTATCAACTATTTTAAATTTTGATTTGGTTATTGATTGAGCTCGGTAAAACAGTGGGTTTACTGTATTTCTGTTAAACAGTAATAACCTTCCTTATATATTTCAAATAGCATTATTGCTTCACGGAAATAAGATATTTCTGTGGATTCCCCCAATAAGTGGTCAGTTTTCCGGTTTTTATCTGGCCAACAAAACTTAATGGCGCTTTCTTTCTCTTGAAATCATTTTTCTTAACTTAAATGCAACATTTGGTGCAAACCATTGATCTAGTCGCCATGTTAGTGGTGTTTTGATTTTTGGCAGTCCTATTGTAATTTTATAATCTCAATCAAAAGTATCACTTAGCAGTATGAAAAATCCTTATACAGGATATGTGAAACTTCTCTTTATTCCTACTCATTTTCTATTCAGAATAGGTATTTTTTCTTGGCATAGGCCAGTTATTCCTCTATTCACATGATTTTATGAGTCTGCCTATTGATACCTTCGTGTAATGGCCGCAAATGTTCTTTCATAAGTGTTCGTTTGGAAAATGATTGTCAACCCTGAGGTTCAATTCACACTTTTTTTTCGCTTAATATAAAAGTTGAAAGGTCATCTTCAACGAATCCATCAGGATTCCATATATGCAACGCCCTTTTCCTGAAGATTTAGTAGAACCAGTTGATAATCCTTCCCTGTGTCTGCCAATTGTTCCATCTTGAAAACATTTCGATACTGTGTGACCTTCATTCAACCAAGTTTCATTACGTTTCCCCCCACGTCACAATATCATTGTTTTTCAATAAAACCCAAATGCACTTCAGGTTATCTCATAATAATGTGGATGTTCTAGTTCTACTTTATGGAAAAAAAACATGTGCTTTCGTCTTATTCCAATATTGGTTGACCTTCTTCTCGAAAACACCTAAAAATCTGGTTGGTTTTGAGAAATCGAATCAAGTCAAAATTAGTCGAATCAGAATTTATTCACAATGTGCAAGAAGAATGTGTCTGCATATTCGTTTATTATCAAAAGGCTGATGCATGGCAGTTTGAACATCTAATTTTACTGTAGCATCATTCAGTTTCGCTCAATTTACTGATGTATTTCATTTGTTGTGAAATCATTAACAAACTGAAATTGATTAATAATTTTTGTTCACCCTGTACAAATATCAATTGTTATTATTTAATGGAGTATTAGAAGGCATTTCCAATTAAGAATCACAAGACTCATATACTCAAAAAGTGACAAATCAGTTGGTATTATCTTTGGTATTATTGTAACAAGATGGAGTAGTAGAAAGCCAAAAACTTTCTTTCCCAAAAATAAAAGATCCTTTTTTTATAGGTTCTCTACTCTGCATATTCATATTTCACACTTCTTCTGAAGATCAAGCCATAGAATTCCATCACTGAGAAAAGATTATCAACACAAACAGGACTCGAATGGGATTGAGTGACACATAAATAGTTGGCTTTTTTAGATATCACTTTGAAATAAAATTTAATAAGCATTCTGACCTTTCAATTTACATAATATGGCTATTTTATGGGAATTATTTGTCATTCAAAGAGTAATATATCCGTAAAGCAGAAAAAAGTTAATGTCCTATCAAATACATTTATTCAACTGTATGAGGCACATTAGAACAAAAATAAAAAAACAAATAATATACACATATCTATATAATTAAACAAAAATGTTTCGTCTACAGAGATAATACTACTCGGAGAAAGAAGTTTAAATTTCTATTTAAAACACTGAAAAAAATGAATGAGGTACCTTTCGATAGAGAGATAAGAGAAACAGTCACTTCAAAAATTAAGTACATAGTTTCACAAAAGGTTCATGAATTTCTACTGTAATTGACATCTAGAATTTCAATAAAAAATTGTATAAGCTCCAGAAATGGATGGATTTCAAAACGGACATACCATCCTCAATTGAAACTTAAAATAACCTGCAACTGGTTTTCAAAAATGTATCAACATATTGATTGTATCAAAAAACATCTGTGTATCACATCAAATTCACAATCAACAAATCAACATCATTCATAAAATCTCAATAAAGTCAATACAATATACAAATAACAATAAAAACCTTAAAATCAGTAATGAGGGGTGTTAATCTGAGTTTGAATAGAAAACCAAAGTGAATATAGCATATTCAACAATCATTTAAATCATAATACTTTTGATATGATTTGTTAAAGATTAGTGTATACTGCTGAAATGAATGAAGCATGAACTTAAAAAACATCAGTTTATTAAAAAAGTGTAAAAGTAATATATGTGAAAATAAGACCTTGTTGATCCTTAGTCCACAGAAGTGTCGACTTCTGAGGGTTATCATTCATATGGAAACAACAGCTGGTGGTGGTGGAAACAACTCAAAAACTTTTGAGGGTGTTTGTACCAACTCCTATTGGAGAGGTGGTTTTTTTATTCGGGCATTAAGCTATAATTTATGAGTTTTCAACATTTTTACTTTAAAAAATCATACTTTTCGTTCATTTTTGAATCATCAACGTTAAAAAGGTTCTTGAAGTTTAATTTGAATATGCTATATTCGAAAAGACGGATATACCCGCCAAGAAAAAATCAGGATGACATTTGAAAAAAAAAACAACACTGGAAATGAAAAAGTACTATAATTTCGGGATCAGATTGCGACCCCTCTTACAACATAAAACAACAATTCGGTAAAACATCTCACAACGTATAACGTCAACAACTGAGAATGGACCCTTGGTATTTATTGCAAGAACAACAGATTTTTACAATTCAAATACAAAGCACAGGATTTTTTTTTTATCGTTCCCAGGTCCCTTATCCTCTGAAAGAAACATACAAAATAAATATAATAAATGAAATGTGAATGTCACACAAAGCTTATTTCTTTTTTTGTGAAGCAAAGGCAATGTTTTCTTGAAGTTTGATTGAAAATATATTTAAATCAAATTCCGAGTAATGTATTGGAGAGAACCCCAGAAGACAAATTATCACATATTTTTGATTGTTTTCAGTTGATAGAAACAAGTATTTCAAAGGCAGTAGTTTCTTAGGATAAGAAACCGTCAGATATCTAGGACTTTAGTAAATGAAGTGAGCTTATATAACAAAAACCAATATATTGCAGTTTGAAGAAATAAAACATATATTCTTCATGTTCGATGTTAGATAAATTTTTTTTTAAAATAACCAAATCAGATTATTTTTTTCTGTAATAAGATATTTGCATTGTATGAAATACACCCTCATTTAAGATTAAACATGACATTTTGCATGAAATCGGTAAATCCAAATTGGTCTCGAGAATATTGTGCTTTGTTATTTGTGTGAAACTTGTAACATTGAGCATTTTTTTGGAGAGTAATACCTATACCTCAAAATTAAACAACTTACAACGTGCCAACAACAAGTTCATCTATCTCTTTTACAAAGTGTTAAAACTAGGACTACACATAGCTCAAAGGGTGTGAAACAAGCAAAACTAAACTTGGATCTTGGAACGTTAGATATCCAAGAAACATGGTGTTTCTTGATATTAAAGTTTCTGTTACTGAATCGATTAAACTCACTACCAAATGAAGTTATATAAAAAAATTGAAAATATAGATAATGAGCATTGTCATCGTTTAAGAAAAACATAACAAACACAACTTTTTGACAGATGTTTTGTTCAAAGTATCAAACTAGTAGTGCCAAGGCATTATGAAAAGAAATCAAACAGTAAACTCATCATTTCATTGGTCATAGATGAACAAACAATTTCAGAATCCTCTCATGGGATATGTTACCTTCTGATAGTTCAAAAAATTCAACTACCACAAGTCCATGTTCTCATACAATACTGTTAATTTTTTTTAATTTGAAGTTTGATTCAATGTATTTCATTCATGGGTTGTTTTGCATTTACATGGTGGATAGTTTTTGTTCATTTCAAATTATCATTCAAAATTCATAGAAATATTTGATTTTTGGGTAATGAGCTTTCCAATCTTGAGTATGAAACCATATCAGAGGTGGAATACTTAGAATTGTAACGTTTAATAATGATTCAGATGGGAATATTCACAACATTAAACGTCTTCTCCTAGTATAATGGAATACCCAGTACAGGTTGCATTGAAATTTGGAAAAAAATCAGATTGGACTTCCTAATACAAAAATACATAATCAAGTATTTTAATGAGTAAAACTCTCAAAGACACCCCTTGGCTAGATATAAAAATCAATGTATTCATTTTACCAGTAGAATTGAAAAGTTTGACAAGTTCTCAGTAAAGAGGCAAGTCTCTGAATAAAAATACTTTGACAAACGAGGGACACATTGTCGACTAAAATGCGATGATTTTATTTCAGTTGATAAGTCAAGTTTAGTTGTCATAGCTGAGAAATTTCAAACGTCTTGTCTCTTATGCAAACAACTGTACAAATAGAACGGAAAAAAAAGATGTCATGGCTGTAGAATGAGTTTGAGGAATGTGTTTGGAACTACAGTTACAAAACATGTTGTTGACATGTTGATGACAGCTATGTTGTAAATATTATTTATGTGAAAAGGGAGACGTCAAGAGTATTCTATGATTCAATTTTTTTTCCAGCACTCCAGTTAGTTTGTTTCAACCTAAGTTACCTCTAGAGTTAATGACATTTTAAACATCTCAATAAATTATACAAGTACCATCCATTTTAGAATTTGATGTTAGATTATTCATATCTACAAAAATAGTTTTTTTTTTGTTCTCAAAGCAGAATGAAAATTGTTATTGGCATGTTTACTAGAAAATATTGGAAAATTGTTATCAGCTTCACAAAGATGTGATAACAAAAATAGAAAGGAACTCCTAACCTCTACTCGACAATTCTGGGTAGTTCGATCGATGTAAACATTGTTAATAGATAATATCATAACGTTTTACCTTTTATTAACGTAAATAATAAAAGTCTTCACATAATACTTTAGACACCATTCTCATTGAACTTATCTTCCGCTAGGAGGCAGCCCAGATTGACGGTTGGTTCTAAAAAAAAAAAGAAAGCGTTGTTCATCCGATAACAGTAATTGTCAAATATTCATTGTTTTCAAAAGTTATTTTATCAATCATTTTATAATTAGGAATACTTATTTTCATTTATAATTTTGATATAAAGGTAAAATTAATCCATATTCAGACATGTCCGATATGGTGAGTTTGCCTATATTCATTGGAAATGAATTATTAGAGAATATTATAAAACGATTACATAGGTATGTATCTCTCAGATACACATTGGAAGAGTACTGACACAGATATCAATGGTTAATCAGAGATGCAGCATTCATTTATTCGATCAATGTAAATAATTCAAATGAATGCAGACAAAATATTCATATGGGAAAACAAAGTATACAAGTATTTCATGTCCAAAATAAGCATTTTTTATGAAAATTTTCGGCTCCTTGGGGAGCCGAGGATTGAGTTCTCTATTAATCCCATAGATGGCGTGTTCGTAAGGGAAAATGTCATTGACTTTATGTATATCCGGCTTCGTTATGACCTTGAAAAAAGATGAAAGTGATTCCATTCTTTTTTCCAGAGATTAATTTGAAATTTTTACTTTTTCTGGTAAATTATCAACTCCAAATTCATAGAAAAGTTTATAAAAGTTTCAACAGTGAGAACAATGTAAATAAACCTGTCTCGTAATGATCATATAAAATATTTTTGTTAGTGTTCAACCACTATTTATTTTTGGGTGTTGTACAAATCCAGTTCTATATTCTAGAGGAAAATCTTGTGTGGAGATCACTATAGATAAATAATTTGGGTGTCCTAAATGTAGAAATGGTCATAGAACCTGATGCAACACAAGAGGGAGACTTACCTTCTCTGGATTGAAACATAACATGTAGCATTTGTGAAGCAAAAGTAACAAACTAGTGATTGAACAGCCTTCCAAAGCCCTTAATCTGAAGTCCATAGTAGCATTCAATCCTAGACATTGCGAGATTTTGCAGGACGCAAAAAATAAGGGATATGGACAGAAATATGTTGAAATAAGCTGAAATTAATATTATGATATTGCGAATTTTCAATGCTGAAGAAAGGTCCATAATGTTGCACAGAAACCAAATACCTAAACTTACCTAAAGTGAAGTGTAATAGCAAATTCAATCCGTCAAAAGCAGCCTATTTCACTGATAATGAACAGCATTGCCAAGGACATTTGAGATACATTTAAGAATTGTCAGCTAATAGATATTTATAAGAATGTTTCTACTCTGAGACCCATAATATGTTCATACTTTTTTTTTTTTGGTATTTCCCTAAACTTTGTATATTGATGTAGTAGAGCAAAAGATTACCTGGGTGGTCCAAAAAGTACCGGGCCAGACCCAGAGATGGCGGTAGTTGTTTGAAAAATATCACTGTATTAGAAAGTACACAATCTATAAAGCGTATGTTTCAAGTTTGACGACGCTGCGTTGTTTAGTATTTGTTTGGCAGCCATCAATATCGAACGTTTTCGGTGAATTTGTGAAAATAGAGAAAATTAGTCATCGTTGTGTGGTACAATACTTTTATTTGAAAGGTCTCAGCGCAACCAATATGAAAACTGATCTGAATTTTACTGTGGGTGAGTTTGCTTCTACGTTTACAACGGTAGCAGAGTTTAAAAAAGGCCGTACGAGCTGCCAAGACGAGCATCGCAGTGGTCGACCAAATGGGGTGACGACTCCAGAAACGATAAAGAAAATCCACAAAGTGGTACTGAAGGATCATCGGTTCAAAATGCACAAACTAACAGACATAGTCGGCATTTCAAAAAGTGTGGTACATCGTATATTATCTGGAAATTTGGACATGAACAAGCTGTATGCAAGATGGGTGCCGCGTTTGCTCACACACGAGCAAAAACAGTGTCGTGAAGATGCGTGTTTTGCGAAGTTTCACAGAAACAAAGCATAATTCTTGCGTCGTTTTATAACCATGGATGAATCATGAGTCCATCACTTTACACCCGAGACAAAAGAACAATCAAAACAGTGTACTAAAAAATGAAATGCAAAGAAGACGAAGACCGCTTTATCTGCAGAAAAGATCATGGAATCGGTTTTTTGGGATGCGCGTGGGATTTTCATTGACTATCTTAAACGGCTAGTATTATGCAAACTTATTGCAAGGTTTGTGTGAAGAAATCAAGCAAAACGGCCGCATTTCGCTAAGAAAAAAGTATCGTTTCATCAAGACACTGCATCAGCTCACAAATCCATTATTGCAATGACCAAAATTAAAGTTTGAATTGCTACCTCATGCACCCTATTCGCCAGATTTAGCCCTCTCGGATTATTTTCTGTTCCTCAGTGGTCCAAGATGTTCCAACAAAGAAGAGGTTATGTCGGAATTTATTGGTTATTTTGAGGAGCAAGACAGTTCTTATTATAAAAACGGTATTAAATTGAACGTAGCTGCAAGAAGATAATGTTGAAAAATAAATACAATTCTTCCAAAATTTCTGTGTTTTCTTTGTTGGGACTACCCTCCTATGTAAATTGACTTAAACTCATTGCACCAGGTATATATTCGACACTGTTTAATCTATTTTATATTATATTATATACCATCACAGTTAAGAAGTTAATATCACTGAGGAAAACATCCATTGAGACAATTTTGAAAGGAATACCCATTCTAAATAAAAGACGAGGTATCTTCTGGTTTCGCAATACAAAATAGTATTATATTTTCTTTTCAATAGTTTAATATTCTCAGTCCTCAAATCTTATAACTATAGCCTAGAAATTATCTCGTCTGCTAGAGGGTCAAGTTATTTCAATAACACTTGAGATTTTTAAACAGCTTTCCTACCTTAGTCAGTGAATCAGTCAAAAATATACTAAATATTCTGAAGCTAATATTTAATGGAAAACGTAAATTATGGGTAACCTCAACAGATTAAAGAAAATAAAATCTAGGCTGGTACTTTGTGGTCCAATGAAACGTGAAACTCCAAACGTTTCATATGCTACTGCAGCAGACATCATCAGTGATATGACTGTAAGAATAAAAGCTATATATCTTAAAGTTTCAGCAACGACCGAGACTCAAACTAGTACTTCCTTGTTCCACAGCCTACCAGCACAAATTTAGCTTTCTTCATGACTCTGGCTATGTTATAAAGATGATTTGAAAAAACTTTATATGCTTCAGAAATTCAATAGTTTGAGTTTAAAACTTGATTGATCACTTTGATTCATAAATGATTTCACATATCGACTTCAATTTTTGCCAATGAAAAATGAACTACTCAACAGGAGGTATCATCTCCAAATTTTCACAGCTAAATCATACATTTATAAGACTAATCAACACAACAAATACTCACTTTCCCTTTCCTCTCTTGTTGCGAGATCTGTTGTCAGTTGCAGGGAGAAAACAGTTTCCAGTTGGTTGAACTGTATGTAGGGCAGCTTGTCTGTTCATGCTCGGTTGTCCCCGTCCAGGAATAAGCCTGGGGTCGGGTACTGAAAAAATTTAAATATATATATGGGACCATTCAAGAACTACATAAGCACTATAGGGGACGGGGGTATAGATGGTGATAACGTCAGCAGTAGTTATTTACTTCTTTACACATATGGCAACCCACACATTGTCTATGTTCGAAAACGAAACGCATTTTTGGGGATTCCCACAAATAATGCTTACGTTTAGGTACTCCCTTAGAACCGAGTAGGGAAATTACAGCGCGCTATTCGCTATTGTTTTGTTTCGATACATTCAATATATTGTGAGCAAAGCAAAGCACGTTGATGTTTTTGTTACTGTTAATTCATATTCGCCAAAGTTGAATTGTTCAATTAAAACTATGTTTCAAATCGATAAATCCAAGTTTTACCAAAAAATGTTCATAACGTTTGAAAAATACCATACAAATGTGAAAGTACAAAATGTACAGAAATGTTAACAAAGTGTGGTGTATTTATAAGTTACAAGCAAATTCTAACAAGGACTAAAAATGTTCATGTAAGCATGGAAGTGTGACGTGCCAGCATTATCAACCAATAATAACTCCCCAGACCGTGGTGAAAGTGATCATTGGATCCGAGGATCATGTGCTCATGAGCCAATAATGACAGCCGTCTGCATTTGTCCAGCCGAGATTTCCGCCTTTGTGCGGCAAGTGGGCATGATTTTGAGATTCGAGAGTAAAAAGTGTGATGGATATGTAGTAATTTGGCAGCTATTCGCCGCACTGCAGGCGTGAAAGGCCTGTTGGCCGCCCTGTAATCCATCACACATTCAATACGAGACGCTTGTTGTCTCGCCAACTTGATCTTAGCCTTTATCTTGTGAAACCGCCATTCAATCATCCGGGGTTCCGTCCTTCCGAATCGGAAACCGATTGAACAGCTGTGTACACAGGCGTGTTAATTTGCTAGATGTCAGATGCCAGATGGTATTATTATTATCGTCACGGTTCCTGCAGGTAAGTTTGAAATGTTACAGAACTATGAAAAAGATGAAGGTGAACTAACCTGGTGCAACATAAGGCATTCCTTGATACACAGCCGGCGGTGGAATTGGCATCCTCTGCCTGTCAAAAAACTGAACTTCACCAGCATACATAACTGAAGGTACATTGAAATTTGGTGGATATGCAACCATTCAAGAACTACATAAGCACTATAGGGGGCGGGAGATCTTTGATTTCAACACACACATTGTCTATGTTTGAAAACGAAACGCATTTTTGGGGATTCCCACAAATAATGCTTATGTTTAGGTACTCCCTTAGAACCGAGTAGGGAAATTACTGCGCGCTATTCGCTATTGTTTTGTTTCGATACATTTAATATATTGTGAGCAAAGCAAAGCACGTTAATGTTTTTGTTACTGTTAATTCATTTTCGCCAAAGTTGAATTGTTTAATTAAAACTATGTTTCAAATCAAATGTTCAAAAGTTTTGAAAAATACCATACAAATGTGAAAGTACAAAATGTAAAGAAATGTTAACAAAGTGTGGTGTAATTATAAGTTACAAGCAAATTCTAACAAGGACTAAAAATGTTCATGTAAGCATGGAAGTGTGACGTGCCAGCATTATCAACCAATAACAACTCCCCAGACCGTGGTGAAAGTGATCATTGGATCCGAGGATCATGTGCTCATGAGCCAATAATAACAGCCGTCTGCAGATTTCCGCCTTTGTGCGGCAAGTACGCATGATTTTGAGATTCAAGAGTAAAAAGTGTGATGGATATGTCGTAATTTGGCAGCTATTCGCCGCACTGCAGGCGTGAAAAGCCTGTTGGCCGCCCTGTAATCCATCACACATTCGACACGAGACGCTTGTTGTCTCGCCAACTTAATCTTAGCCTTTATCTTGTGAAACCGCCGTTCAATCATTCGGGGTTCCGTCCTTTCGATTCAGAAACCGATTGAACAGCTGTGTACACAGGCATGTTAATTTGCTAGATGGCAGATGCCACATGGTATTATTATTATCGTCACAGTTCCTACAGGTAAGTTTGAAATGTTACAGAACTATGAAAAAGATGAAGTTGAACTAACCTGGTGCAACATAAGGCATTCCTTGATACACAGCCGGCGGTGGAATTGGCATCCTCTGCCTGTCAAAAAACTGAACTTCACCAGCAGGTGTAGGAGACCGACTGCTCCTTGAAGTCCCTGGAGTGCTAGCTCTTACATTACCCATCTGTGAATAAATCCATACATACCCAAAAGATTAATTTACAAATATTAAAGTGCGACATAGAGGTATAGCCTAGATCATCTATTGATCAACGTCAATTTGATTGGCATTTGATAGGAAAAGTGTTACAGTTCTAGTGAACGGAAACTAATGTTATTGGTGAACATAGGGGGATAACTTCCTCTTAACAAACCTTAGTGGTTCTGATGACCATGAATCTTCCCCCTCAACAACCACGATTATCACGGTTGAAAAGACCCCTGACAGCATTAGTTTTGATGTTTTATACGAACAGTCTGGATCGATTGTAATTATCAATACTTGTTCATTATTTTTAAACTAAAAATACAATTTGAAATGTTCAAATGATGATTGGTAAAATTACTAGATGTTATTGGGCTTCAACTTTGATTCCAAATGGTGGATAATTCAGGTTGATTTTATACATTGAACTCCCATTTCAATAGTTTTGAATTTGACATTATTACGAAGATCAGAAAGCAGTGAACAATCATGATCAAAGTGAGTACTTTCAAATTTCAACCTGTCCGAATCTCCTCAAGTTCACGTCTTTCTTCTAGTTCTTTAATTCGTTTGTTTACATGTTTTGAGCTTCTATTGAAGTTTTGAATAGTAAACTTTGAATTGTTATTACACTAAATAAAAGAGAATGATTTTTGAATTTCATGTTTCTGTTATTTAATTAGAGCTGCCTCAACAATTGAAGTAAGTTACCACCGTTAAGTTGTTGGTTTTACTCTAGGTCTTCAATGAATCAAATATGAGATTTTAATTCAGTTTTGGTGAACTCCTCTTTGTAACATCCCTAGTAGAAGTATAAACTTTGGCAAACTTTCATGAAAAGAAAAAAGAAAAAATGACTACAATAAGGACTCCATTCAGATATATAGTACATTCATAGAAGTTTCTTTATACAAACCCTTATTGATTTTTTTCAGATTACAATCTTTTAAATGAGAATTTCACTAGCGTTCAAGATGTTTCATTTTTATTACAATTAATCCCACAATGGAATATATAAGGAATATATATGTTTGAGGTCATTAATAATTACATTTGTGATGTAAAAGGTAATGAAGTTATATTACACAAAATCTTTTGACGTAACAGTAAAGCACAACTTACCGGTTTATACATAACTGAAGGTACATTGAAATTTGGTGGATAAGCAAACTGATTTGGAGGTGTTTCAGGAGGCCTGTACATCAACTGTTGATTTGGTGTGGGGCAGTAACTGGCTATGACAGTAGCGGCTGGAGAATTGGTACCTGTGCTGCTCTGACTCGAACCCAGTGCAAAATTCTTACCGAATTGTTTATTCTTCATGCTGTTGTTTGGGCCGCGTTGGCGATAATCGAACTGGGTATGATGTGATCCTAAATAACATAATTGTAATATTGTCAAAAAATATCAGAAAATACCTATAGGCTATTAAAAATATAACAGCAAATCTTAAGAAATAGTTGATGTATACTACAAATCAAACATTCTGCAAGAAAAATGTCAACTTGACTGTTCGATTAATTTGCTTCAGCCTGTTCAAGGCTTTGTATATTTGGAGATATACAACTTTGAAAATATTTGGATTTTCATTAGATAATGGTGATATGTTCCTTAATACATTGTATAAACATAAGGTTCGTTCCAACCTTGAGTCACAAACAGATTTCCAACTATTTGTAAATCGCTGTCAACGTGCATGTCTGGTAAATATTGGTTTCTGATTAATTTGAAATTTCTGATTGGAACAGCTGATAGTTCAACTGAAGTTTGGCATGGAATTTCAACATAACCTTTAAAAATAATTTGGGAAAGAAAGTTTTTGGCTTTCTACTACTCCATCTTGATACAAAAAANAAACGGAAGATGAAGGAACAGATCAATTCATGGCAGTTCTAGAGAAATTCCTCAAGAAATATTTGGCAAATGGAACTGCTTCCAAGGCAAGAAGGCGTTTTTCATTGTTATTACACTTATTACAATGTAATTTGTTCTCTATTATAATAAACATGGGGTATTTATTGGAATATAATATATACAAACATGTCAATATGTCCAAAAATTTGTTTGAAGGTAGTTGATGCTAGCTTGGCTAAATGGGTAGAAATACGTAATATTTGGAAACCTCTAATCAAGCGGAACACGACCAACTCCCGCCAAATGGTCAGCTACCGCTAAAAACCATTGAAGCAGAGAAAGGGAAGAGGGGAAAGGTGACAGCAGTCGAATGACCTATAAATAGTCGGATCTCGAAGGAATAAAGCCAGTTGTCACCCGAATACTCAATTAAATCTCAACCTGCCCCTGTTTCAATAGGAGTCCCACAGGGTTCAACCTTGGCTCCACTCTTCTTTATAATATTTATGAGCGATATAGGGTATTCACGTGTATCTTCCCAAAAAACAATAATCTATGCAGATGATACATATGAAATAATAGCAGAAAATATGAACTATCTCTTTCTGTTCAGACTGCAAATATATCTGCTGATGAATTCTCTCAGTGGTGTACAAATAATAGACTACTAGTCAATGGTAATAAAACCTTTTTCATGAATTATCAACAAAAAAACGTTTCGTTAGACTACTGTCCCCTAATAAAAATAAATAATAGGTCTATAGAGCAGTTAGGCCAATATAAGTATCTAGGTTTGATAATTGACCAAAAATTAACCTGGGAAAAACACACTGACTATTTGACGTCCAAATTAAGTAGTGTTTGCTTTGTACTCAGNAACAGTTTTGTATTGCTTCGACAAGTAAGTGTACGGAATCCCGTCAAACTGCAAAAACAACACCCCTGGAGAAGCTTGACAATGCCCTGTACGTTTGGTTTTCTCAAGAGAGAGAAAAAGGTATCCCAATTAGTGGGCCTCTGATTGAAGAAAAAGCATTACAATTAAATGAATTAATGAATGGAGATAAGTCTTTTTCTGCTAGCACAGGCTGGCTTGATCGTTTTAAGAAGCGTCACGGGATACGCCAGCTAGCCGTTACTGGGGAACGACTATCGTCTAATGAGGCAGCTGCAACAGAATTTTTAAATACATTTGCTGACCTGATTGCTGCAGGAAACTTTTCACCGCAGCAAATATATAATGCTGACGAGACAGGCCTTAATTTTAAGGCATTGCCAAGAAAAAGTCTGGCTTCTAAAAATGAAATAAATGCACCAGGTTTGAAAATAAGCAAGGAAAGATTAACAGTTTTAGCCTGTAGCAATGCTGCAGGAAATCATAAACTTCCTCTTATGGTTATTGGCAAAGCAGCAAAACCCAGGGCGTTCAAGAACTTAAATGTAAATGCCTTACCTGTCACCTACAAAAATTCCAAAAACGCTTGGATGACCGCAAAACTATTTAAGGATTGGTTTTATGACCACTTTGTTCCCGAAGTCACTCGATTTTGTAAAGAAAATGACTTACCAATTCGTGCTTTACTTTTTCTAGACAACGCTACATCTCATCCCTCAGATGACGAGTTAGTGTGTGGAGATATAAAGGCCTTTTTCCTACCACCCAATGTCACCCCTTTGCTCCAACCCATGGATCAACATGTACTGCAGTTTCTTAAGCTCTCATACAGGAAGAAGTTATTGAGACGAATACTGGAAGACAGAGACGAAACACTCTCATTGATTGCAAAGCTCAAGATGATAAACATTAAAGATGTTATCTATTGGGTAGCAGAGGCATGGGAATCTACAAGTGAAAACCTGTTAAGAAAATCCTGGAATAAGCTTTGGCCAAGCCTAACTTACGAAGAACAGTCAAATGAAAATGTCGTCATAAATAATGTTGTGCAGGTGCAGGAACTTTTACAAAATATTCCTGGTTGTGAGGACGCAAATGAAAATGATGTAAATGAGTGGTTACAGGCTGACGAAAACGATCACTAAATCTTAGACGATCAGCAGATTGTTGAAACGGTTTTAAATAGACCAGACAACATCCCAGACGACAGTGAAAGTGAAGCAGACGACGGTGACGACAGCGAGCAGAGGGTATCACACTCGGACGCCGCGGCAGCCTTTGATCTCGTACTGCGCTACGTAGAGCAACAGTCCGTCTCGACCCCAGCGGATACTTTGTTTCTGAGGCGTTGGCGCAATTTTGCTGCGAAGGAGCAGACTTTTTTAAACCAATATAGTTTTGAACTATATACGCTCAAATTGTTCTGTTAATTACACTTATCTTTGTACATACTGTAATCCTTAGTATGTATATATTGCAATACATTTCTTCTACTTTTCTTTCGGATTGAACGAACTTTCGGATTACCGAAGTTCGGATTATTGGGACTCCACTGAATAACTTAAAGGTTCAATTAGATAAGAGTGAATTTTTGAAACGAGAAGTTGAATTTTAACTTGCATTCAAACAGACCTCTGTCTATAATGTGCCAATAAATGTGAATCTATATATCCATTCAACCAGTAAATTGAATGATTAATAAATGAAAGTATACCTTTAGGGTTCAAGAATGCTTGCCCATTCCCAGTTAAATTGAGTTGCTGGATGCTCTGCGCCAACTGAACGTACGTTTGAGTTTCAGAGTGACCAGTGTAAATTTGACCAGAAGCTGTTGAACTGCAACTGTTGGGAGTCGGTGTGCCTTGAGGGTAAGCTGAGATTTGAGGAGGGGGAGGCGGAGGATATGCTGTCGGAGTTTGATATACAGGATTCTGAGTATACAATATCTGCGGCTGTTGGTTTGGGTACACGACAGGGCTCGGAGGAGTTGGTTGGGTTTGATAGATAACTTGCATCTGTTGATTGTGGTACACTGGGACAAAATCTGGCGGGTTCTGATGTAGCTGTGATGAAGGTGGCGGCATGAAATTTTGAGAATACCCTGTCGGGATGTAACCTGAAAAACATGTTCATTAGGTGCAAATGCAAGTGGTATAAAAACATAGGGAGTTTTATTCCTCATTTTTCATGGTTACAAATTTTGGTAACATAAGTAAAAAAAGGTGTGACAACTTTTGGTAACATGAGTGAAAACAGGCGACATCTTTTGGTAAAATATGTTGAAAAAGTGACATCTTTTGGTAAAATATGTTAAAGAAGTGACATCTTTTGGTAACATGAGTGAAAAAGTGACATCTTTTGGTATAATATGTTGAAAAAGTGACATCTTTTGGTATAATATGTTGAAAAAGTGACATCTTTTGGTAAAATATGTTAAAAAGGTGACATCTTTTGGTAACATGAGTGAAAAAAGTGACATCTTTTGGTAACATGAGTGAAAAAGGTGACATCTTTCAGTAAAATATGTTGAAAAAGTGACATCTTTTGGTAACATGAGTGAAAAAGGTGACATCTTTTAGTAACATAAATGAAAAAGGTGACATCTTATGGTGACATAAGTGAAAAAGATGGATTTTAGTGTAGTCTTTGAAAGAAAAATGTCAGCCCAAAGTATCAGATGACCATTCCCCATATTCTCACCAAAATATTGACGTCTTCCAGATCAATTTAGGAGGTGAACTAAAGATTGTCCACATATACAGTTCAACTTGTTATTGGAGAAATAATCCTCCAGGCAGGTTTATGATAGAAAATGAGGGAGATGAGAGTTCAAAGGGAAATTTTGAGTATATGTCTGAGTATTTTCCAGTTTAACTAAATGAAGAAAGTTGATGGATATACTATTCAACACTGGACAGTGCTGTTTCGAATCAATTAGGTCTCAACAGTGGTACTAGCCCGAACCACTGAACTGTCCTGAAAAGAACAAGCCTGAAAAGTAAAGGTGATGGCATCTTTCCCAACGAAGACATCATTTATGGGATTGATAGAAGACACAATCCCCAAATATCCAGGATAAACAAAGCTTCCAAAAAGTTGATAGCAAAAATGATGAATGACAAAATGATAGTACATTAAAAGATTAGGTCAGTTGATAGCATAAGTACATTAAAAGATTAGGTCAGTTGATAGCATAGTCTGCGGAAGTCAAACTCATTCGAAATTGAATTGATTTACACATCACTACGTCCCGATTTGAATATCAATAATCAAATGTATCATTAATTGCAATTGGAAAAATCAATGATAAATCTTACCTGGCTGTGCCGGATATCTCTGAGAAACAGTATTAGATGCTGTGTTCCCAGGATAATAAACTGGATGATTCCAGTAACTTTGATGCGCTTGCTGGTAGGTAATTGCTTGGCTTGGAGGAGCACCACAACCCTCCCCCATGTAATAAGTTCCCGCTAATTCAGATACCATTGTTGGTTCCTGTGAATGAAAATTACATTAAATCTGCATCAAGAGTAGAAAGAACCGGATTAATCTGATATAAAGGTATGCTATAACCGTAGTTCTGAAACAAAATTGAGAAAACACCACTTTTTGAAAATTAAATCATCAGCATTTTCTGTTTAAAAAATATTTGTGTTCTTTTTGTTTGAAAGTGGATGACAATGATCCTTATTGAACTAAGGTGTTTCAGAAACTAATTCTAATTCTAACCAACAGGTTAAAAAAACCTTAGTACTCAACAATTCCAAATCAAGTACTGCTTCCATTTCTTGAGAACATTTCGATAGTTACTATTCATACCTGTTAACATATTTGACAATTGAAATGTGAACTTCCAACATAGAATCTTTTTTTGTTAAGACAAAAACATAAAGAAGGAGAATCTTTTGTCATGATTTTTCAAGCATTCGGTTCAATTTTGGTGGGTAATTCACTTAGCACTTAGCAAGTAAAATACTTTTTTTTAAACTCACCATTCTTGTTTCAAATTGTGGTTGCACATGAACACCATAAGGGGCAGTGTAAACAATATATGGCTGCTGATAAACAGCCGTAGTATCACCAGTAACAGGAGTAGAATAGGTTGATGAATACCCTGGAAACTGTTGCTGCTGCTGGTGCTGCTGTTGAGGTGGAGAAGCAATGTTCTCAGTTGTTACATATGAAAAATTCCTACAACAAAAAAGCTCAGTAACAGACATTGACATTAATAATGGTACTAATCAAAATAGGTACTTAACATTATTCAATTGCGAGTTTTTAACATGACAATTAACAAAAATTCAACACGTGGTTCTCTACAGAACAACTTTTTCAAGCGTGTCTAATACCAGAAGCTATTATATAATGAAACACTGGTTGCAGTTTCGTCAATTGTCTTTAGAAAAAGGGTTATTAAATAATGATGTGATACTTCAAGTGTGACTTATATTAGAAGTGATTATATAATGAAACACTGGTCGAGGTTTCGTAAATTGTCTTTGGAATGAAGTGTTATTAAATAATGTTGGGATAGTCCAAGCGTGACTAATACCAGAAGCAATTGTATAATGAAACACTGGTTGCAGTTTCGTGAATTGTTTTTGGAAAAAAGGGTTATTGAATAATGATTTCGATACTTCAACCGTGACTAATACCAGAAGCGATTATATAATGAAACACTGGTTGCAGTTTCGTAAATTGTCTTTGAAATAAAGTGTTATTAAATAATGTTGGGATAGTCCAAGCGTGACTATTACCAGAAGCAATTGTATAATGAAACACTGGTTGCAGTTTCGTGAATTGTTTTTGGAAAAAAGGGTTATTGAATAATGATTTGATACTTCAAGCGTGACTAATAAACTGAGTTGATTATTGAGTAGACAGATAGATACATAGATATTTGTTACACGAAGTACTTGTAGTCGTACACAAAATAGTGAAAGAATAATACCTCAAACATTACAGAATACTCAGTCTGAATTTTTGAGTCAATAGAATACACTTTGCAAAATTAAAACAATTCAAAAATTGAAGATATAACAATTGATGCTACAATAAAACAAGAAATAAGTGACACCTTTCAGATGCAGTTATCACCTTTCTTCAATAATCACAGTGCACCCCTAATGATACTTAGAATGAACAACTCTGATAATTGTTGTTCTCATATGGTACCTGAGAGTGAAAATTCTCTTATTGACTTCAGAAATCTGCTCGCCATCTTAATGGTTCTTATACATCGGGAAGTCTATTATAAAATTTCATCGATCTGTAAATGGGGCTCCGTTCGTACATAACTTTTGTAATATGTAGGGGAAATCATTTTCTGTTGTGTTCCATAATTAGGTCTTTTACAATGTTTTTTGAAATAATCTGGATTACTGACGAGGAATTTTACGGACGCAAAAACATACTACTGGTATGATAAATAACTTCTTTGACTTAAATGCTTCCCTACAGCCTTTGCTGACACAGAAAAACTTTCAATTCGTTACTTGACTCCCGCATAGTTAATCCTATCCTCTTGGCCGAGTAGAAATATTCACAATATGTTGATGAAACCTCATAATTTACATATTTTTTCAATACTCCCATCATATATATTACTGTGGACAATTTGGTGCATAGGTTATCTAACTAACTTGATATTAATATTTAGAAACTTCGTCACAGAATTACAATTTTTTCATTGTTATGAGAGTTACATAATGCGGCTATTTTATACTTCAATTAGCTTTGAAAATAATACGGTCAATTTTTTCGTCATTTAGAAACAATTTTTTCTCTAGAAAATATTCCTTGCATGTTTTAACGTCACTATCGGTCTTGACCAGCAACCCCTTTATTGATGAAATTATAATTATAATGTAACGAATCTGAAGCCGCCCCTGACCGACATGCCGGCCGACTCAGCGAACAAACACATGACATCACCGAGAAAGAATGCAGTCGGGAATCGCCGGTAAAACTCTAGAACCGAACTGACTACAGATTTCTAGAAAGGACCCTTACCGATATAAGCCCGGCTTCCCGACCCAAGAGGGCAGTTCAGAAAGTGAATCGAGCGGCTAAACAAGAAATTCAAATAGTGAAAATAAATTAAGTGTTGGTTGTTAGGTGTTGTAATAAATAAATTAATTCGTGATTAGTGAAATATTGTTGGAAATAAATTTGTTCAACTCAGTTCATTTATTAATTTGTTTCAATAACAAAGAAGGATCTATATTTACTTGGCGGAGTGTAGCATGACTATGTGTCCATTCAATCAAAAACAAACAGTTGGCAAGAGCCTCAACAATAATCGTATTATATATCAATTGAATGAGGATATAAAAAAGAAAACAATGTAAATATACAGATGAGAGAATTTTAGACTTGAAAGTAGGTATTGAACAGAGCTCTGCCTGGTGGGGAAATGAATTAACATATAATTTCAAAGAATGTTTCGGATTTGTGATGAGATTAAATAAACGGAGATATCGATCATGTATGAGGTTTCTGGGTCAAATTTATTCGAGATATTCGAAAGTCTTATTATCCATGAACCTTCAAGCAAAGTTTATTAAGTGATGCTCCCATCTATTGCATATAACTGGTCTAGTATGGGTTTTCTAACTTGACCAAAAATAAGTCTGATACAGGAGTTCTGTACCTTTTGTATTCTTGATGATGTTGATCTAGGCATGGGCCATAGTAATAGAAAATAATCGCATTGCATAGGGATATCTTGCCTCTAGGAATATAAGTTTTTCAATAAACCTTATCAACGTTTGATTAGCGACTTTATAGGTTATGAAAACTTCAGATTATGGTCGACAGTTAATCCTAGAACTTCAGAGTTGGTAAATAATATGTCCTGCCCCTGGACTTGCAACTCAATATTTATCTATGGCTCCCTGTTTATCTAATTATGTATGTTATAAAATGATATATCGTGCTAGTATGATTTCATATATGTGGTAGTGCCAATGAAATTATATCTTCCAGCAATCAGCTACCCTTGTGTTAGGTAGTCGATAAATCCCCCCCTCCCCAATTCTGGAATTGGGATTTCAATTGTATTTTTGAAGCAACTATATTTGGGTGGGTGCATGAAAAGTGGTTTTGTTGAATTCATTCTGCGCTACAAGTTTTAGTTCTTTCTATCTTCCATCCTCTATATGAAAATAGTGAATGGAATATTCCTTTTTAATTTGAGAAAATATTGAAGAAAATATCCAATTTACTTTAGGTGGTGAAAATAGTGATTCATATATCACATGATCAGTGTCTCAGTCTACAAGTACTTCACACCTTCGTAAACTCATGAATAAAAAAATGTATAGAAGTACTGTATATTGCAATACATTAATGTTCATCAATCAGTTCAATCATAAACTATCCTTACCGATTTTGAGACCCTGAAGAGTTAACCAAAGTTGGTGAGAAAGGCATGATCGGACTGGTCGAGCTATTTGTGAGATGAGACTTCGAAGCGGGTGATGATCTAATAGAACGTGTTTTTTTAGGAGACTGCGACAAATTTTCTTTGGAAGTAGACTGAGGCTGCTGAGTCCTCTGAGGCGATGGTGGAGCTTTGCCGAACATCTGACATATAGTGGCCGGTATATTGGTAGGATCGTAGTGGTATATGGTGCCGTCATCATTCTTCAATGGTTTTCCGGTCTGAAAATATTAATTTTTTTTTATTACACAGGGTTTACGAAAACGAATCTTTCATCATTAATAATCGCTAATTATTATTCTAGATAATGATTTATTACAGATGTTTTTTTGAAAAAATATGTACTTCACCTTTGAGCATTATCTCGTTAACATATATTGAGCTTTAAACTTTTTAATACTATGTAATTCCACCATAACATATTTAAATGACACTTGTTTTGTGAGAGTTACCCTTAACAAGTGTACAAAACGCTGGCATAAGTGTTCTATATTTGAGGGGGACTACTTTGTAAGGGACAAAAAACTGATGAATGAATGCATTTTTATGAGAAAAATGAAAATTCACCTTATTTTTTGAAGACAGAATACATTACAGTTTTACCCTCTTTATCTCTCCCTTGCTCTCAATATTTTGCAAGAACAGCGCAAGTATAAAATTACAACATTAAATTCTAACCTGAGGATTGATGATAATGCTTCCTCTAGGCACGTTCTGCATGTCTGTCACGGCCCACACGACGTGATTATCCCCACTATCGTCGATTTCCTGATGATCTTGGTTCTCGCTGCTACAGTTGGAGTTCTGTCTGGCATCCATGATGAGATGTGGAGTTGATGTGGGCGATGGAGTCACCGACTCCGACATTTGGGACTGCGATTTGTAGCCTGAACTGGAGGGACTTAAACGCCATGACACCGAACTAGCTCCCGAATCTAGAAATATTCTTCCTGATCAAAGCAAGGAAGAAAATAATGGGATTGGTCTATTGGCAATAAAGTAATGAGATATGAGGTTGGTTGCTTCAGATTGATTTTTGGTTAACACATATTACCATCTTATTCTGAAGTCATTTATTTAGCTAATTGCTACTCTTAACTTTTACTGTGCGATATATATTTTTTCTTGTTTCACTGATAGTCTTTTGAATTTTTCATCAATTTATTGTATCTATTTAATCCATGATATTCCAGGAAAATAAATCAAATTGTAAAGATAAAAAATGTCGATGAATTTACTCTACAACTTAATTTTTGTGATTTCTCCTGTACTAAATTCAGGACCTCACTTGAAAAAAATTCCGGTCACATTGTTTTATATGCTCATATTTGATATTATATCCCTGATAGTTTTTTCTATCCCTTACTTCTTAAAAATCCCTTACTTTTTAAAAAGTAAAAAAAGATAATTCAAATAATTTTTCTGTACCTCACGTCTGTACTGCTACTCTCCAAGCTGCGAAAAGTTATATTCATACATATGAACTGAAAAAAAAAAGTAAATGGGGAAGGTGCAGACTGACATCTATTCTTCCACCCAACCCAAAACAGACTACTACTAAATGGCAACCATTATAGGGGAAACAGTCGTGGCATGGGTAGCAAGGGGCTGTCCTCAGGGGGGGTTCTATCCCCTCTGTTATGGAACCTTGTAATGGGCAAGCTATTGTGTCTCCTGGACCACAATGGGTATAAAGCACTGGGCTATGCAGACGACTTAGTCATCTTAGTCCAGGGTAAATACAATAATGTAGTGAAGGGATGCATGTAGGCCCTGAATATTATAACAAGATGAACCGAATAAGAAGGGTTTAACATAAGCTTATCCAAATCGACCATAGTATCATTCACCAAGAGGACTAAAGAGGAGGGTCTCGGACCTCTAAAACTTCGAGATGAAGCATCAACAAACTAGGCAAGATGCAAAGACTTGCATGTTTGGGAAAGACGGGAGCAATGAGAACTACCCCAACAACTGCACTGGAGACACTCCTGAATCTACCTCCTTTTTACTTTGTGATAATGGGGGAGGCCAGGATGGGCCAATTCAGACTGGAAAACTCACCGAACTGCAAAAGATCGGACTGAACAGAAATTTCGGAACAAGTAGAGGAGCACATATTGAATATGTGCACGGACCACATGACACCGAAGTACACCTTTAACACAAACTTCACGACCAAAATCATAAGCCATGAAGAGTGAAAGACCATTAGTAATCTCGAAAACATGTTTGGAAAAAACACCTAGTATACAGTTGGATCGAAGACCAAACATGGAAGGGGAGCTGGAATATACCGAGCGGATAGAAATGTAAACAACAGCTATCCACTAGGACTATACACATCCGTCTTTCAGGCGGAAATGCAGGCTATCTTGCAGTGTGCAAGGCTTTTTAAATTGAGGCCTCAAATAAATGAGAGGATCAATATTTTAATAGACAGCAAGAGCGCACTAGGGGCTCTGACAAACCCGAAGGTGACATCAAAACTGGTCTGGGAATGCCATGAAGAACTGAATGAACTTGCAAACAAGAACAAATAAACTTTTTACTGGGTGCCAGGGCATTCAGGAATGACAGGTAATGATAAAGCTGATGAATGCACTAGACGCGGATCATCAACTTCATATATAGGTCCTGAACCAGCTCTGGAGGTACCAAAATCGTTGGTACGAAACCAGATTAGAACATGGACCAATAAGAAGCACACAGAATACTGGACAAAAGTACCTGGCAACAAACACAATAACCCCTTCATTAGGGAACCGTCCGAGAAAAGAACCGAAGAACTACTTCAATATAGTAGGGATCGGCTCAGAATAATTACAGTCGGAAAGTCGATAGCGAGAGTTCTTTCAACTCTGGTGGTATTTTATTCATACATTTGGTGATGTAATAGGAAAATGAATGTCTGTAAAACACAGTGCGAAACATTGAGGGAGTAAGCAAACGTTTTCGTCTAATGTTAATAATACGTACACAAATTCAATTTCTAATATTTAGCAGTTATCCCGTTCAGTATGTTACCAATGGTACTATGCACACATCCCCTCATCACGATGCAAAAAAAACTACAGTAGTTTTGCATGAAGCTATGAAGGTAATATTTAAAAAACCAGGACTACTTCATCTATGGAATAATACAAAACGATTAATAATATGACTTTGAATTATACGAATGTAGGCTTGCCATGATCTTCTTTCGTTACAATCTCCAAACGTTATCAGTTGACATGTCAAGAAAAGTACTTCAACCATGCTACTGAAGACGACTGCCGCAGTTGCAGTTGAAACGTTTGAAGATTATAACCAGAGGCTTTCGGAAACAAAGATCAACAGGCGACCTTCTATCGTATGTCACCCATATTCGGAATAACGCAATCGACAAAGATGGGCAGTCAAGAGCTGTTGCGCTTGATATTCCTGAGGCCTTTGACCGTGTTTAGCATGAGGTTATGCTGACCAAACTTCGATGCTATGGCTTGTATCATTTTTGTGTATGACTCTTCAGCTTCCTGAAAGAACGTTCCATCAAGTGGCTGTCGATGGATATCTCTTGAATACTTTCACCATCAACGCTGGTGTTCTCCAAGGATCCTCCCACCGAGCAACGTCTAAATTGGTAGCAAACTGCCAAAAAAGACTCTCCTCGATAGGAAGACTAAACAGATTGTCTCTGGTATGAATTCCTGGCCATACTGGCCTGGCAATGAAGCTGCTGACTCTCTTGCAAAGGAGGGTGCTGCAAGCTGCTTCATCGGACCAAAACCTGTCATTGGCATCGCTTTAGGCTTTGCCAAACAAACACTTAACACCTGGACGGCAAGAAGAGTTATGGACTTCTGGCAGAATCTTCCAGGATTGGCTCACTCCAAGGCGTTTATTCACCCTTCGAAGCTTGAATCCAAACAGTTGTTGGACTCCAGTAGGGATGAACTTCGATGTCTAACAGGCCTTCTTACAGGTCACTGTCATTTGAATCATCCATGCAGAGAGTTGGACTGTCGGAAGACAGTGTGTGTCGCCTCTGTCTGGAAAATGATGAAACTGCAGAGCTTATACTTTGTGCCTGCCCCGCTGGGGACCGAATCAGGTCTTTAAGAGTTCGGCAGAGCCGTATCTTACCATCTGACCTGAAAGACCACTCACCATACAAACTAATCGGCTTCGTTAAGAAGCTGGGTTTATTTGGCCGAGTGTGAATAGGTGTTAGCCATAATAAACCCTTATGGGTTGCGGTGGAGGGTCGAATAGGCCCACTCACTTTAGACCTACCTACCTAGTTACCTTAAGGATCCATTTTATCTCCAACCCTCTTTTTATTGTATATCAACGACTTATTGGAAAGAAATCAAGAATCCAATATATTGCTTTGCTAACATCGGCTACGGAGGCACATCTTCACCAGCAGCAGGAGGTTGCATATCTTAATGAGAATCTATAATTGATTTCGAATTGGGGTGAAAACAACCAGATTCTATTCAATGTCACAAAAACCCAGACATCGGTTTTCTGCAAGAAAATAAATGTCTCCAAACCGGATATAATAATGTCAGGTCAGATAATTCCGCTTTCTGTTTCGACAAGTTTGTTGGGTTTAAAATGGACACCAATATGTCTTGGCACAATCATGTCGCTGGAATTGAAAATGCTGCTTCTCAATAGCTTGGAAAAGTGTTCCGAACCAGAAAACTGTACACACCTCAACAACTTTTGATGCTTCATAAAGCTCAGATCAGACCTTCTTTGGAGTATTGTTCTCATGTATGAAATTCTGCCCCCCACATACCCCGAAGTTGCTGGATCCCATCCAGAAAAGAGCCATCCGTCTGATTGGAGACGCGAACATCACGTGCAACCTTTATAGCCTGGAACATCGAAGAAAGGTTGGAGATTTGTCTCTCTTCTACAGATACTTTCAGGGGAAGTGTTCAAGTGACTTGGCACATTTGATTCCACAAAGAGCGGTACATATCAGAAATACGCAATGAACTGTGGCTGCTCATCGTTTTGAGGTTTAACTCAGTACACCTCGAACTTCACTATTCAAGAATTATTTCATCTGGAGAACTGCGTTTATGCGGAATAATCTTCCTGAGAACGTTTTTCCAAGTGGATTTAATCTCCAGCAATTCAAATCCAATGTGAATCGCTACTTTCGCACAGGCACCGCTCTGAGAGCGCCTTAATGATTTTCCTGTAGTACATTGTAATAGTGTTTATGTGGGACAATGTGGTCGAAATTTCCAAAAACGGTATGCTGAACATGAAAGGTCCTTTAGACTAGGAAAAAATTATTCGACGTTTTCAAACCATTCCTTGGCATGCAACCACAAGTTTTCGAATCTAAACGATATGGAAATTCTGCACTATGCCAGGAAGGGTTGCAAACTCAATTATTTAGAATCCTTGGAAATTTAAAAACATAAACATTGCGGGTGCAACCTGTTGAATGATCAAATCGATTTAATTTACCCTCCGGTTTTTAAATTGCCACATTCGCATTGTAAATTCAGGTACTCAATCAAGTACCTGAATGGTATATATTGGCGAATGTAATGAATCATTGTTAGTTTATTGTATTAGTTTGAGAATGTCCATATAGGACGAAACTGCAGTAACGTTAGTTACAATTAAAAGTGGTAAAAAACATATAAATTTTCATTTCTCTTTTCATATATTCATATATAAATTGACTAAAAATCTCCCGCGGAGTCATATTCGATTATTAAAAAATTCTAAATTGCATGATCGTATTACAAAAAGTTCCAATCTACATACTACATACTACCAAAGGAAAGAATAAATAATCCTATTTCAAATTATTTTGAGGTTTTCAATAAATTGCCTGAAAAAATGAAAAATCTAAAACAATGATGTTCAATGATGATCAAAATAAAGTTATTTGAATGTCATATTTGCTCATTATCGAAAGTTGTTGTTAACTTCCCTACACGACCATAATCCTGCCTGGAAGTTTTATACGGAATAAAAAAATTGATGTGGATAAAAAATCTTCAATGACTCACTCTTCATCTGTCATTCAATTATAATATATGTAATCAAGGCCTAGGTCGACCCTATGGATAAACACATAAATTTGTTGACCTATGTAACACTATAAACAAATTAATTTTTCAATGAAAACTGGCATCGAAATTGTTATTTCAAGACCATGCTCAAGATGTTATGAAATATTTGGCAACGAACCCATTATACAAACAGAAGTGTAGAAGGCAGCAAAAAGATTCCCCATCTTGTATTTGAATTACACAAAACTACTGCCGATACAAATAATGGTGAATGATCGATAACACAATATCTGAATGAATAATTAATTATGTTTTTATTAAATTCAAAATTATACTGTATTGAATTGGTTGAAGGAAGGCAGAGTTTTGATTATAAATTCGAAAAATGCATGTGTTGTTATTTATAGCATATGCCAATTGTTTGATTCCAGATAAGCAGTCAACATATCCTTCCAATAAAAAAGTGTCCACTATTCATTAACAAATTAATGTACGGTAATCAATAGCCTAAGAAACTCAAAAAAATAGTCAAAAATTAGTAATTCAACTATAAAATAATATTAGCGATCCGACCTGGCATTCGACGTCTAGATTTTTTTTGCCATGAAGAGGGTTGGCTTTTTTACTGAAGGACATACTTTTGAAGATATAAGGATAATTTTTTTGACTTATAGAAATTTCTAGAACATTCGAAAGTTTCGAACGCATTCTACAATTCTAGAGTGTCGTTTGAGAATAGTCTGGTAAGTTCAGGAACATCCTGAACATTCTGTGTTCATTGTGGAACGATCAAGAAGAAGGTTCCCTTTTTTACCAGAAAGGCTTGCTTTTGAAGATAACATCGTAATTTCTGGAAAAAAAGCATTATGGCTTTCTACTTTTCCATTAAAAAAAAATGTGGAAAACTTCCAAAGAAAGAAATTGACTGCAAAATAAACTCTTTTTAGAAAACATGTGAAGGTCATCCGTAGAAGTTTCTATCAGAATAAAAATGCCCTCTCAAATCAACTTCCAAATGAAAGAAAATTCACTTTCAAAACAATTACTTTCAAATGAACATGGAAATAAACAAAAATCACTTTTTCCTACACACTAAAGTCTCCAAACATTCATTATGGAATTGAAACCGACATCATTCATAGGAACGCTACACAACATAATATATGATAGATTATAGACATTTCCGAATAATGTTCCCTTTTTAATTTAAACATCATCATATTTCAACCAAATCATACAAAACATTAATAAGTTATACACATAAACCTTTATCGTCGTTTTTAACATTGACTTATACCAATAATGAGCTTCATTTGGTTACATATTTGGCCCCTTTTGTTTGATACAGTCAATTTATCAAACTATTAGCTGTGTTGTTCAAGGTTCAATACGAAACAATTGCATATTTTATATGTTGACTGACATTGTTACCTTAGTTTACTTTGTCGTGTCTTTTCTCTAATGTAAATTTATTGAAACAGAAATTGTTAAATAGAAACATCAGGTTTGTATCGCAGTGAGCAACTGCTTTCATTTAATTTATTTCATCATGATCAATTTAAACTGAAATTATTAAAGTTTAACTGACGTTCCAAGTGAAAATTGGAATGAAATTGAAGACAAAAATTAATTATAGTTAACAACATACCCTGCTTTGTGAGTAGTCTAGGTCCAGCACTGTGTGTCGACATTACGCTATCACCCCTGCTGAGAACTGAAATAGTGCCTCCATATCCACCAAAACTGAAACTCTTTGATACACATGGTCTGGTCGCCTCACCAGGCTCTTCCGAGTGTCCCTAAAAGGAAATTAATTGCTTTTTAGTTTCCAGTTGATGTGTGACGAAGTTCCATAATGAACAAAAAAATTTGAGAGAGTCACTCTTGAAATTAGTCTGAAAATCGTGATTCATTTTCAAGTAAACACATTTGCTTCCATAGGGTTAAAAAAATTGTAAATCTGAGTAAATTATTTCAAAAAATAAAACTATTCTAGATAGGTAAGTAAAAAAAAAATGTGAACTTTTCTGTGTTATGGCTAGTTTTACGTATTCGTTCGAATGCAGGTTTATCCGATATTTCGTCTACAACTGCGGTAAATAATATCAAAGGCTGTCAGTTCCTCTGAATATCGGAGCATTGGAATACTGAACAACATACCCACAGTGTCACTATTTTGTGGGTTTGAATGCTGTGGATTTTTGGAATTTCTTTTCACTGGCGCTAGTGGCTAGCTTCTTCACAGTTTTATACATTCTGAGTAATCTCCGATGACTAGATATTCCGACTGCATAAGGGGAATTTATGTTGACTCAGGTTGTTTGGTGTGCTAATACCTGTATCTGGATTAGGTATTCAGGAAAAAATTACAAAACTTGACGACCCGGCCGCAAAACCCTTTGCCATTTTAACAGACCCGTTGTAGGATACTCCTACTTATCGTTAACTTACTGCCGCTCGGAAGGGTAAAGTGACTCAGTATTTAGTAAATATTAAATCCATAAAAAAATCGCTAAAATGTCATAAATGTGCAATGCAACGTGCAGCTATCGAGGGTACCTACATAGTACAAAAAATCATGTTTTAGTCATTTGTATTTACAGATGAAAGAAGTTGAATGCCTTTTGTTGAGATGTAGCAGGGTATGTCAAAATATTCTCACCTCTAAGCGACAATTTCGCTTGTGTTCACTGGTTTCAATGAAGCTACAAGGGATTCGGTTTACCCTCGGTGTTATTAGAAGCCCTTTGGGAGGTTAGAACCTCAAAATGAGCAGAAGTGAAACCATATTGTTGATCGCACAGTGAATTTCATTTTTTCCATAGTTGAACTCTTTCAACACAGAAAACGGCCCAGGGAAGCTCTCTAGCTTACAGAGATGGGCTTGTCTGGCCATCAGTGGTGCCATCAGTACCACACCTCCTCTTCACATTTTTCTGGAGAGAGAGGCTAGATGGACTTCATACAGACTTATGCACATTGCCAATTGCACAAATCAATTTAGTGCAGAGTGCAACAGGCTGTTGGTTGATACTGAAAGTCACAGCATTATGGAAATGACCTCTGACTTCATGCCTCCAACTGTCAACTGCGAACCGCCTTATAAGGTACCTTTCCCGAGTAGAGAGGACTGGATCCTCTGGAAGAAGGAAATATCAAGAGCAGATAGTTGTTGGTTCACAGATGGATCAAAAACACCTTCCGGTTCTGGTGCAGGTGTTTTCAGTCACAGACCCAGGACAGAGATATCAACCTGCCTAGGAACCTAGGCGACTGTATTTCAAGCGGAAATTTACGCTATTGAAATGTGTGCGGAGAGATTAGAAGAATCCAACCTCATACACAATAAAAATATTTTTGGACAGTCAAGCGGCGTTGGAAGCTCTTGGCTCCTACCGAGCAAAAACGTCTAAATTGGTAGCAAATTGCCAAAGGCGACTCTCCTCGATAGGAAGACTTTTCAGATTGTCTCTGGTCTGGATTTCTGGCCATACTGGCATGGAAGGCAATGAGGCTGCTGACTCCCTTGCAAAGGAGGGAGCTGCAAGCAGCTCCATCGGTCCAGAACCTGTCATTGGCATCACTTTAGGCTTTGCCAAACAAACAATGAACACCTGGATGACAAGAAGATTTATGGACTCCAGAATTGGCTTACTCCAAGGCATTCTCTTCGAAGCTTGATACCAAACAGTTGTTGGACTACAGTAGGGATGAACTACGATGTTTAACAGGCCTTCTTACAGGTCACTGTCATTCCAATCATCATATGCAGAGACTTGGACTGTCTGAAGACAGTGTGTGTCGCCTCTGTTTGGAAAATGATGAAACAACAAAGCACATACTTTGTGCCTGCCCCGCTGGGGCCGAAACAGGTTTTTAGAGTTCGGCAGAGCCGTACTCTTACCATCTGACCTGAAAAACCACACACCATACAAACTAATCGGCTTTGTTGAGAAACTGGGTTTATTTTGTCGAGTGTGAATAGGAATTCATAATGGAATGGATGTACTAGTGACTATAACATTGGGTCCATAGAGTGTACAGAAAACCCACGCATAAACAAATATTTGAATAAAAACTCGAACCATCAACCATGCCAAAAAAAGGATACTTGAGAAGTTAACTGGTACTTAATTAGTTCGACGCATCTTTGAATCCAAGAGTCTCTCCAAGAAACTCAAATTATCTGAAAATGACAGCAAAGGGAAACAGAAATCAAGCGAGCAGTACGATCCAGAAACGAGAACATTAAGGTAACTCCATTTAGGCATATCAATGGAAAAGCTTTCCTGCGTATGATAAGCATATCAGACCGGATTGATGTAATTCTGGACACACAAGCTAACAAAATTAAGTCTAAAAATCCCTGAGGACATTTAGTAATATCAGAGGCATATCAAACCCCTCTAACTGTGAATTGTAATGTACCTGACTCTCTCACAAATCGTCGCCCGGGGCATATGTATAGTAACAGAAAAGAAAAGGGAGTTAACATAAATACAGTCTGGATACCTGCCCTAAACTACGAACATATCAGATCATTTGAAGCAATCAATAGAATCGACGCCACGCACATCACCAATGGATGACAACTCGTCTGTTGCCTCATTGCGTACGAGAATGTGTACCGCAGTTGTAAACGAACGTCAGGCGTAAAATATTGCATATCATGACAAAAAAAATCGAAAAATACCTCTGACACAATTATGTACGGCCGCAAAAGTTTACATTCTGACTATACAAAAAAATTAAAAAAAAAAAACAAAATCGTCACAACCATTCCTTTCAGATACACTTACTTTGATCAATTTTCCCGTTTGCCGTCGATGAATTTCCGGTGGTTGCAGTCTGAATCGTGAGGAGCAATCGCTCTCAGTACTCGACCAAGGCATTTCGGACCAACCGAAATCCTCCGAAGATCCGTCCTGCATCTGCCATAAAAACCACCACTTATCGACCTTGTTGAATCAAAATTCAGCGTTCATAATACTGCTAAATAGCATTTTTCACAATGGCACAACGGAATTTAACAGCAGAAACACTATTTATTAATTTATGTCGTTGACGAGAATGGAACATAAGTGCTGACTGAGCTGATTTATTATTCTCTTTACCATCAAATAATTGTTTTTTTTCTTTTGAATCTGGCGCATTGCACTGCTGAGGTCGTTGGATCAGTGTTCTGTGTAAGGTAAATTGATAACTCCCTGAGCCACTTAGGGAGCATTATGGCTGTTTGTAGCCTTATCTTCTGATACCTCTATAATTTAACTAAATGAACTCTGACTATTTTTCTGAATCTAATTTTGCTAAATATGTCCCTAGACAGAATTGGAACCAACCAACACATTTCATTCGAGTTTAACCCATTTGTTCCTAGTGTACTCAATTGGATAGAACCGGCAAAATGTCATACTGGTGACATCTATGAATAAGTAGTTCAATTACTGAATATTTACGCTCTTTCTCATCAGTGAACTAGAGCACAAACCTGATCAGTTTATTCAAAGCCCTATCCAATACGTGATACAACAGTACTTTGATACTTTACACAGGTTTTGACTTGAAGGTAAGTTTACTATGTATATATTCGATAATTCAGGAATGTTATCTGAACGTGTATATAATAAAATGATCATTTGGGTCCTAATGAAGATTTGTGTGATGCACTTAACCTATAATTTTTGAATTTTGAACCGTTGATAGCGATAAAGGACCTGTACCCATTTGAGTACAGTGGGTTTATCCGTTATTTTGAAAATTCCAAATTTTATTTCACATTATTTGTTACAGATGAATCCTGAAATATTCTGAACTCTATCGTGTAATGAATTCTATGGTAAAAGGTTCAAATCTTTAGCACCAGCAGTCAATGACATTTGCTCATCAGATAATACGGATGAAGTGCACATTGTAATAATTCTTAAAAATGTTGATCCACAAACAGATTACGAGGAAATAGATGATGATTACATTCAAGGGGTGCAAACACAGCTTCCGAGAGATGTTCACTATTTAGGTGATGATCAGGAGGAATTAGAGATTGATGATGAAGACTGGAATATTACATTATCACAAGTTCGTCAGAAGATATTGGATGACAAAAAACAGGCTGAAAGTTTCAATGTGTTAGAACCAGAATGGACGAATGATGTAATTGATATTGGAATGTTGGAGACCACAGGATATAAAGATCGTATAGAAGTGAACTATCGAATATGACTCCAGATGAAGTATTTGAAAGATTATGGGACAAAAGTGTATGGAACCTTCTGGTTCGAGAAACAAATACGTATTCAATTGTCAGAAGCGGATATGAAAATTTTCATTGGAATCTTGTTACTGTCAGGATATCATCGGCTGCCCCGCGAACGTTTATACTGGTGTCTTGATGATGATGTAAGAGTTTCATTTGTTACCAATGTGATTTCCAGAAATAGATTCCAAGAGATAAAAAAATATATCCATTTGTCGGACAATAATAACCTCGACAAAGACGAGAAAATGACTAAGTTACGACCTTTCATGAACCTTCTAAATCAAAATTTTCAGCAGTGGGGAATATTCCATAAGGATCTTCAATCGACGAGTCAGTGGTGAAATACTTTGGCCATCATTCAGCGAAAAAAATTATAAAAGGGAAGCTAACTCGTTTTAGCTACAAAAACTGGTTGATATGTAGTGCTAGTAGTGTTACAAATTTGACACGTAAGTTTCCGTCAAAGTTTCCGCTGGGTTTGAAGGTTGTATTGGAATTATTGGAGGCTGTCGCGGTTCCTGCAGACCACATTGTGTTTTTCGATAATTATTTCACCAGTCACAGTCTGATGGCGATACTGAAAAATTTTGGTCAAAGAGCCACAGGAACAGTGAGAAACAACAGAACAAAAAAATGTCCTCTTACTAACCCTAAATCTTTTGCTGCTACAAACAGAGGAACCTACGAGCACAAGTATGATGGTAACAATTTACTATCATTTGTTCGGTGGAAAGACAATAACGTGGTTACAATATTCACCAGTTATGATTCTGTAGAGCCGTTAGGAAAAGTGAGATTGTCCACAACAGAAAAACGAAAAATTGATGTTCCTCAACTATTTTTGTTTCAAAATTATAATAGTTCAATGGGTGGTGTTGATTTACATGACCAAGGTGTCAACAGAAAATAGAAAGCAATAATAGTCGGTGGAACACAAACCTCTCTGTTGAATATTCTCCTTCTAGCTTTCTCGTATTCCTCCTCTCGCTCTTCAAAGCTCTTACTTCTTCTACTTTCTAAGCTAAAACATCTATCGGGTGACTTGAAACTACAAATAAAAAACAATTACAAAACTATCCAAAAACTAGAATAAAATCTTTTCAACCTTGTTCTACAATATATTTACTAGCAAATATAAATAGTGAAGTTCTCACCAATAATCTTCTATGCTACTGGAATCTCTTTTGAGGATGGACCGTCTTGGTTCCTCACTGAATATGATATCCTCCTTGACATGATCCTTGAATTCTACCTCAGGTATCCTTGTACATTTCGTTTTATTGACTATTACTGATTTACCAGTTGGTTCGATATTGTGTTCCATGCCAAAGTAGGCTGCACATCGGTGGACCAACATCCTCTGGTAAGAGGACATAGGAGGAAATTTAAAGTGTGTTTTACTGAAAATCGAAAATACATTTCAATGTTATATTGAATGTATCTGGACATCTGAAGTTTCTATCTCAATTTTAACCCAAATATTAAACCGTTTTCTTACTTACCATCTATCTTTGGCAAGATTGACTAGTTCCTGTTCTATACGAAGCATCAGCGCTCTATCTTTAGCATTTCTATTGAGAGTATCAGGTATGAATTTTTCCAGATCAACTCCTGTTGTGTCTGTATATTGCTCACAACTACTATCTGCGAACAAATAATAAAAAAATATGAAGAAATGTCTTCATTAGCAAAAACAAAATGAAGTTTTTGTGTAGAAAACTGAACTTATTCGGAAAATTTTGTAGCATTTCATTGAAACTAATGTTGCAAATATCTACCAGTTATAAACAGACATTGACAATCAATAAAAAAACAGACTTTATTATTATATTTATATGTTTATTAGTTTGTATATGTTGTGATAATGACCCAAATTGTCTAAAATGAAAAAAAAAACAGAAATGTTTATTTATTATAGTTGGAAAAAGGTTACGACACCACTTTCAAGGTAGTAGTAGAAATGGTAGTAGCAATAGTAGAAAAACAAGTTTTAATATACTTTATTAGCAAGTTATTAGAAAGAATGTCTTACCTCTAGATAAGCATGGCGAATTCGATAAACTTTCAAAACTACCCTGCGAAGAACTTTGTTGACGTAACTTTCCCCTTGAACTGGTCCTAGACACAGACAACGTATTAGGGCTGCCCAAAACGTTATTGTTGATGTTCATGAGGTTATTGTTGATGTTTCTCTCCTGATTCTTGACACACTTCGGACAGTTTTGGTTTTGGCATTCACATACGCATTTCTTCTTAACACTATGACTAGTTTGTTTGGAGGTTTCCGAGTGTCGGCCACCGTTCAGCTTGTTCACAAAATTTGGGCTCGAGATCTGAGGAATGAAAAAAGTTTATAGATCTTGAAGGGAGCTACACCTCTTCAAAATTTCATTCAATATAAAACTAGAAATTTCGACGTTGATTATAGTACGATTTTCGGGATATTTTAACCTCAATTTCAACTCAATGATATCCTTCACAATATAGATCAAACTCAAGATCTTTCTCTTGAAGATGATCACTTGGTTATCGAAACACGTGTCGAGGTTGCCAACGGTGTTGAGAAAAAGCAAATTTTTCAAACAGATTTAAACAGATTTTGTCAAAACGAGTGTTATTATTGAATGTTTATCAGAGGAAACTTAGGTATTGATGATTCACTCAAGTTTCTGGAAAACTTGTCTGCGAAACATCAATATAGAAATTATTTCCTTTGAAGATGGTCAAGATATAATGTATTTTGAGTTACTCGGGCAAAACATTTTGGTGCTTATATTTGTAAATAGTATTAACAATGTCGATATTATCTTTTCCTAAAAAGTATGGAATAATATTCCCAGGCATGGTTGTTTTTTATCTAAGTGATCGTATATTTGTGTGACTAAAATAACTATGGCATCAGAGGTTGATCTTCCATTTTGAAAACCAAATTGGAAATCTGAAATTATATGATGTCTCTCTGTGAAAGTCACGTTTTGTGAGGATTTTTTTGAATATTTTTGCCAGATTGGATATTATGCCTATTGGAAGGTGATTGCTTACTTTGTTTTTTTCGCCCGACTTAAATACAGGTTTAACAATGGTTAAACCTGTTCGAGGGGCATATAGTGTGACAAAAATAGTGTTTATCAAAATACATAAAGGTTTCGTTATATGTTCAGATAATGTTTCGATAACTTTCACATAAATTCCATCATACCCTGGTGCAGTGTTTGTCTTTAGTTCTTTAATTATTATATTCAATATCTCAACCTCATCACATGGTGTTAGAAAAATGGTATCACCCACAGTATTCACATTTTGAGTTATTACCTCGTGCGCTTCTTGCCTGATTTTTTGAGCCATTTTTTCACCCACGGCTGAGTAATGGTTAACAAATACACTAGCAATATTGCAGTTCTAGTGTTTGACAGCAGTGCTCACTAAGGTTTGTCTTTTGAGAACATTGAGCCCATAAATAGGTTCGACGTTCACCACTAAAGGTACCTATGGCAGTCAAAAAGTGCGGTTTGGTGTTAGTTAACGAATGCTTCGTTTTTGAGTTCTCGTTTCGAGTAGTTGCCTTGCAGTGAAAGTTGCAGTTCGCCGGTCGGTATCTTGAAGCTTTGCAAATACCACCCTCGGGAGCCTAGTTTATTTTTTATATTCGAGGACTCAGATTTCTGTCGATCCAATAAATGGAGTTTTCGTATTCACTGACTAGTTTTGAGTTTTTGGTCACTCTATAATCAGTTGATACAGTATAGAAAGCATAATCTATGATTGTTATGAGATTCTCAAACCTCGGGCAATGCAGAACTTTCCATCACCACTCTTCGTTGAGAAAGCAATAATCTTATATGAGTAGAGCTGCCATACTCAGTAACAAGAAGCACAATATTGAGTATTTCACCTTATAACTTACAAGGTTCAAACGAGGTTGTAGAAATAATAAAGGTATTTTATTAATTTTCAGTTATATTCATACATGTGAACTAAAAAAAAGTAAATGGGCGAGATTCAGTATGGCAATCGTCACCGGACGGTGCAGACCAACATCTGTTCTTCCACCTAACCCAAAACAGACTACTAAATGGCAAATCAGAACAGTCACAAAAAAAAAACATTGATAACTTTCAAATGCACCTACGTTACAAGGAATATAAACATTGCCATCACTAAATTAATGAATCTCGGTTCGAATTGAAGATAAAGATTAGTCAAAGAAACATACATAATTTTTTTAAACATTGTAAGTGCTAAATTAATAATTCTCCAATCGAACTAAAGATGAAGAGTGGGAAAAATTACCAGAATTTAAAAAATAAAAATAGAACTTACTATCTATCGAGAAATCTGATGATATGCGTCCAGAAAGTCGATAACAAGAGTTCTTTCAACTATGGTGTTATTTTATTCATACACTTGGTGATGTGATAGGAAAATGAACTTCTGTAAAATTCTGTGTGAAACATTTGGGGAGTAAGCAAACTTTTTCGTCTAATGTTAACATTATGTACACAAATTCAATTTCTAATATTTAGTAGTTATCCCGTTCAGTATGTTACCAATGGTACTATGCACACATCCCCTCATCACAATGCAAAAAAAACTACAGTAGTTTTGCATGAAGCTATGGAGGTAATATTTAAAAAATCAGGACTACTTCATCTATGGAATTATACAAAACGAATAATAATATGACTTTGAATTATACGAATGTAGGCTTGCCATGGTCTTCTTTCGTTACAATCTCCAAACGTTATCAGTTGACATGTCAAGAAAAGTACTTTGACCATGCTACTGAAGACGACTGCCGCAGTTGCAGTTGAAACGTTTGAAGATTATACCCAAAGGCTTTCGGAAACAAAGATCAACAGGCGACCTTCTATCGTATGTCACCCATATTTGGAATAACGCTGTTGCGTTATGTTGATATTCCTAAGGTCTTTGACCGTGTGTGGCATAAGGGTTTGCTGGCCAAACTTCAATGCTGTGGCTTGTCCGATCATTTTTGTGTATGGTTCTTCAGCGTCCTGAAAGATCGTTCCCTGCAAGTGGCTGTCGAAAGATATTTCTCGAATACTCACCACCATCAACACTGGTGTTCTTCAGAGATCCATATTGTCTCCAACCCTCTTTTTATTGTATATCAACGACTCATTGGAAAAAAACAAGAATCCAATATATTGCTTTGCTGAACACAGCACCCTTGTCATTCCATTTGGATTCTAGGACATCGGCTACAAAGGCACATTTTCACCAGCAGCAGGAGGTTGCATATCTTAATGAGGATCTAGAAGTGATTTCGAATTGGGGTGAAAATAACCAGGTTCCATTTAATGGCACAAAAATCCAGGCATCGGTTTTTTCCAAATAGATAAATGTGTCCGAACCGGATATAATAATGTCAGGTCAGACAATTCCGCTTTCTGCTTCGATAAGTTTGTTGAGTTTAAAATGGACACCAATATGTCTTGGCACAATCACGTCGTTGGAATTGCAAATGTTGTTTCTTACAAGCTTGAAAAACTGTTCCGAACCAGAAAATTGTACACACCTCAGCAACTTTTGATGCTTTATAAAGCTCAGATAAGATCTTCTTTGGAGTATTGTTCTCATGTATAGAACTCTGCCCCCGCCCTGATTCTGGATTCCATCCAGAAAAGAGCCATCCGCCTGATTGGAGACGCGAACATCACGTGCAACCTTGATAGCCTGGAACATCGAAGAAAGGTTGGAGATTTGTCTCTCTTCTGCAGATACTTTCACGGGAAGTGTTCAAGTGACTTGGCACATTTGATTCATCAAAGAGCGGTACATATCAGAAATACGCGACGAACTGTGGCTGCTCATCGTTTTGAGGTTCAACTTAGTACACCTCGAACTTCACCGTTTAAGAATTCTTTCATCTGGAAAACTTCGTTTATGTGGAATAAACGTCCTGAGAACGTTTTTACAAGTGAATGTAATCTCCTTAAGGATTTTCCTGTAGTACTTGTGGTTTGTTGTTAAAAAAAAGACCACGGCAAAACCCGGAAACCAAACGAAACCTGATTTTGAATTATTCAATACTTTTCAAAAAAGATATATTCCTGTATAAATTGTCTAAAAATCTCCTGAGAAGTTATATTCGATTATTAAAAAATTCTAAATTTATTGATCATATTACAAAAAGTTCCAGAAATTTTCATCTTTTCCATAGGCAACACGTTGTCGATGGAAGCGCTGAGGTTGGGAGAACACCTGGAGCTTGGAGACGGCACCAGTGTGGTGGTTGGAGAAAGGCATTGGGGCGACGGGCTTGTGGGGGCGGCAAGGGAAGGGCTCAAGACGACTGCTGGAGCCTGAGGAGGTGAAAACGATGGCGAAGGGATGAGCTGTATGCACGGCGACTGTAATTGTTGGTGCTGCTGCTGTTGCTGCGGTTGGTGATGAATATGGTGGCGATACGGACTAGGTTCCCTAGGCGGAGAAGTTTCTTCGCGCATCGCATGACTTCTGACTAGTACTTTCGATTTGGAATTGTTCTGAGGAAAACGGAAATGAGTCATTTTCGTTAGCATTGCTCAAAACAAATAGGAATCTTCTCTGCAACGTTTATGTGACACGTATCTCTCTTCCACTCACTAAAGTTACTCTCTGAAACACTTACCAACGACGCACGACTTTGAAGTGTGCCAGAACCTGCTTTGTATCACTACTGCGGGTGTTCGACAAGGTTCCGATCGGAGGTCGTAAATTCTCCAGAATGGACCTGCTCATATTTGTATGTATTCTTCTATAAGGAATGACTCAGAACTCCCCTAGCTATATTACTCCACTATTTTATTTTTATTTATTACGACCATTCTCAAGTGAACTAACTTTACTTGAGAATGATTGACCAAACCGAAACCGGTCGTAATATATAGAAAACTTAGTTAGACATCAAACAAAAGTATTTTCTTCATCATATATGCTCCTACCACGATATGGGTATCAGACAATATCTGAATAATAATTTTCCTAACAGATGGACAAATTGGAGGTTAAATGGTTTCTGACAAGTGAATCAGAAAACAATTTTTTCAAAGCTCTAATGATTTGATTTGTTTTAACAGCGTTCCTGACCGTTCCCAAAAGTTTTTTCTCCATACCTTTGAAAGAAAAAATCACCGAAAATAGCGTATTAATACATAATGAGTCTGGAGTAAACTAACTATAAAAAGTTTATTCATAGAGTGATCCGTTTGAAATACGGTAATATTTATAGAGAAACTGAAAGGTTCACAATACTGAAATGAATGAATTTTGATAGACCGAGATCAATGAAAGCTCATAGGTATATCTCAAATTTGAAAGTAATGTTCCAGACAGTTTCTGAGATATTGAAAAAGTTTGTGTGTACGTCGTGATTTGGTCTTCAGAAAAAAATTAACGTATTGAATCAAAACGGAAACTGTTTTTCATTTACTACCTGGGCCGAAAAGTCTCGGAAGTAACACATAGATGGCGCTTGTCTTATTGCATACACCTCTTTTTCAGTTAGTACCAACCTTCAAAAAAAAGCTATTGAAATTTCATGATACTCTACTCAAAAGTTTGGTAGTTATTATGCTAAGAGTGACACTACTTTTGTTGGATCAAAACAATTTCGTGTTTTAATTTTACACTGCTTCTTGATGGGAAAAAATACCTTTCAAGCGAAGCAATGGCTTGCAAGTGTTATAAGGACTCCGCTTCATAAAAAACAACAATTAAACGTTGGTTTGCTGACTTCAGACGTGGTCATAGAGAAAGCGATGCGGCAGAACGCAGTGGACGTGACCAAGCAGACATAGTAACAATATCAAAAAAACCTGTTGGCTTTATATTGCATGAGNACATAGCTAAATGACTCTGAGCAGTGTTTGGCCATGTTTGAACATAACAAACCGTCGTAGGTAGCCCAACCCCGTGGGTTGGGCTACATATCTGGCGCGTCCCCATGTGGCGGATAGGGGAACGGCCAGGTGACTAGAAGCCCTGTCCGGGGAGCCAATATGGCCTTACGGACGGGGTCGCCGGACTCTTGGTCAGTGGCAGAAATAAATAGGGTGAGGGGAACTAAAACTCCCCAAAAGCCTTTGCGAAACATGCCACCGTGGACCAGCCTACCCAAGCTAAAGTGTAAGAAATCGTGCCGACAGCTGAATGGCCGCAGGGTGATATGCGGATACGAACGATCCTCTTGAGGAACCAGGCGAAACCTCATTGTAATCAGCCTTCCTCTGGTAATGCGGGGATCTGCCAGAGTGACCAACTCTTCCCCTGCTACTCGTGGAAACACACATGAAAAAACAGACACAGAGAAAACAAAAACCAATCCCGAGGCTGGACAGAAGTGCTCACCTCCATCTATGGCGGTGGCTGGGGATGAACAGAAATGTCCACCGCAATCTACCGCTCGGAATGAGGCTGGACATGGCAGATCACCTCGTGATATAATACAAAGGCCAAGGCGATAGCGCATTTGCGGCGCAGAGGCCTATAGAAGGAAGAGAGCTATAGAGGCAGGAGTGGCAGCAAATAAAAGTGCACCCTCCACCTCCTCCACTCCTCCTCCAACAGCAAGGGCACTTTCTGCGACGGGAGCCAAGAGCTCCACCTTGAATAAAGGCAAAGAACCGGCTGCTCCTGCAGGAAAGCGCCCTTATTTGAGCACATCCACGGAGGGAACCCCATGAAGGTTGAAGAAGCCACGCAACGACAGTAATGTCGCTGCACCTTCCAAAAATCACGAAGGCCGCCGTGAGACACTTCAAGGTTGCCAAAGAGAGTGTGTGTTCGGCGAGTCTTGGCCTTCACCTGCCGATATAAAGATGTCTCATAGTGACTTGTCCACCTTCTTGGAAAGGATAGAATGGACGATAACCTTGAAGGACAACTTCTTGGGAGGATGTACAATGGGTTACATGTGGCCTAAGTGCTCACCCTCCGAACTCTAAAGATACAAATACAGAATGTACCAGAAAACAAAAAAATCCACAAAATCGTTTTGAATGGTCGAAAAGTGAAGTTGCATAAGCAGACATAGTAACGATATCAAAAAAACCTGTTGGCTTTATATTGCATGAGCATTTGACTGTGAGGAAGCTATGTTCTGAGCAGTGTTTGGACATGTTTGAACATAACAAACCGTCGATATGTGACTATGGATGAAATATGGATCCGGAATTAAAACGATATTCATCTGAGTGGAGAGCAACTGGTGAACCTCGTCCAAAGCGCACAACAATCATTTGGAAAGGTTATGGCCTCGGTATTTTGGAATGTGCGTGGTGTGATATCCATCTACTATCTTAAGAAGGGAAATAACATCAACAGTGTATATTACATATCGTTATTGGAGCGTTTGAAGGCCGAAATTGCAAAGAACGACCGCATATGGCAAAGAAATTTCATCGAGACAACGCACCGTCTCACGAGTCAATCAAAACAGTAGCAAAACTACATGAATTTAACTTCGAATTGCTCCCACATCCACCGAATTCGCCAGATTTGGCCCCCAGAGACTACTGGCTGTTCGCAGATCTCAAAAAAATGCTCACCGGTAACAAATTTGGCTCGAATGGAGAGGTTATTGCTGAAACTGAGACCTATTTTCATGCAAAAGATAAACCGGGAATTTTCAGCCCACATGTTAAGTTAGCTTCGTAATACTTACCCGACCCCTGGATGGTGGGGTCGACGATGAATTATTCCCTTCTTCGGATTCCATTGTCGTGTTTGAGCCCCTTTGTTGCATTCTGTTAACTGAAGTCGCTAAACTTAGAAAATCTGGAAAAAAAAGAATTTCTTTTGCTACAACTTTTATTTTTCACATTACAACTTACAATTTCGTTATTGTTTCCATTAGTAAAATTTATTGTTTGTTTGGTCTCAAAGTTGATCTGAAATGAGAAATACATGGAGTTACTCACAAACTATAGACACGCGGTGCCAATATTTGTCGGTTTCGAGTAGGCCAAAGCCAGATACGAAGTGGAGAGCGCTGATGCCCAAAAGAGCACTTAAAGTATACACATTTTTGATAGAAGAAACAATATTAATATCAAGTACTATCTTGTAGGTGAGAAAAAAAAACTAGCTGCATTTTCAATAGTAATGTTTTTAGTATTTGAAAAAAAATTGAGAGAATAATAATAAGTTTTATTGTAAGAGCAAAAGATCTTATTCACGAGGCGTATGTAAATAAATAAATTCTAGGTATGTTAAAAAAATTAGTCGAATGTTCAAATTTCTCGGGATACGTATCTACATTCGACTAGCGATTTTTTATGTTGGTACCCGTGATCATGCCTTGGCCACCGTATTCTCCAGATTTGGGTTCCTGGATTTTTTCCTGTTCTCAAGATTGAAGAGAACTATGAAAGGACGGCTTTCAGCGACGATTGAAGGAATAACAACCGAATCGCAGAGGGGACATACCAAAAAGTGCATATCAGAACTGCCTGGGGGATTGGAAACGACGCTGGCACAAGAGTAAAATATCTGAGGGGACTACTCTGAAGGGGACAAAATAGACATTGATGAATGAATGATTTTTTTTTATGAAAAATGAAACTTAAAATTGAAAAGGAAATATTTTTAGGATGGATTGTTTTTTTCCTCCCTTCTTTTTGGAAGTTACCTACATTTTTCATACAATTATGGAGAAGCAGAAATTTAAAAAGCTGATGAAGTTATTTTCGTTGAGAAAAGAAACAATGCCTGGCGTTGACAAATTTATATTCCATCGTTGTCATAAATATTATCTTGAGGATTCTTTTTACACACACTGAGATAAGCTATTCAATTCAGCTGTTCAAAAAAGATTTTTGTTTTCAGTTCAATAATTAATTAATTTCGTTATCTTAATGATTTTCAACAGTATTCTCTTCAACGTTTGTTTGAAAGTGGTGGATGTCTCATGGTCACCCGAAGACGATTGAGGATACTGTTGTAGATCATGTCCATAAGAAAATAACGCCGGCCGCCACTGGTAACCATAAACCAAACGTGACGTAGCTAAGAGCGCGGGAATGTGCGATGATTCCCCGCCACTCGAGAAGCAGCGAGAATAATGTTTCTGATTTCGACGAAATTTCGGCGAAATTTCTACGATGTTCGATTACGATATTTAAACGCTAGCGGCGGGCATATCGACACAGCCAAGTACACAGTCAAGTGGACGTTACAGTACGGTACGCCAAGTGATCTAGTAAGGCGATAGACTTTAAAATGATAGTTGTAGTTTTGTTGAACTGTTTGTTGTATTTAAATTGAAATGAAGTTAAGTTTCATTATTCAGTATAGTCAATTATTGATCAACCCACGGGAAAAAAACGTAACAATACGTAACGACGTCCGTGAAGTAACTTGGTTTGAAATCTTTTTATATTTTCATTATTTTTTTCCTTAATTGAAATCATTTCGTGATTAGACAAAATAAGCGATAACACACCTGAAATCTTGCTTTAAATATCAA